GAGTTATGATACAATAAAGTTTTGAGTATAATTTTGGCTAAAATTATGTTAATTTTTGGCCGGAATTATGATATACTAATATAAGAAATTTTTTATATAGTCACATCTCTTTATAATCACCAAATATGGACTGTCCCAAATGTGTGACTATAAAGAGAGTTGACTGTACTTTTGACTCGTAAGTATTCAATTATAAGTATCAGTTTAATTATTATAATCTTAGAAAATTGCTTTATTAGTTTAGCTAAAGAAGTTTCTTGAACTTTACATAGTTGATGAATCATATAGACACATAGAACTTATACGAAATGGTAATGGAAAGGTTTTTGCAGATAATTGCAATGGAAAAAGGACAATTGATTAATTAATCATATTAGTATAATAGGATAATATTGATAAGTTCAAACTGTCATGTGTGAAAGTGTAAAACATATATAGAGCAATATTTTCTTTTGAATAAAGATTGTTAACACCTGGGTAAATCTAACAGTGAGTTTAGATTGTGTTATCCAAAGTATTGTGTTTTTCTGTGATTTGTTTGTTAGTTTTTTTTGTAGTAAACTTTTTGTGTGTTTTATTTGTTTTACCCTTGTGTTTGTCATTATTTGTTTGATAGATTCCTATCTTTAAGAAACGTTTACCATCATTATTAATTTTCTATTGAGAATTATTAGCGATACTCTTATATTTTATTGCCATATTATCAAAACACTTATCATTTTATTATTTGGCCTTTTTGTCACAATTGTTTAAATTGACATCTCTGACGTTAGTTATCACTCCAAACTAAATCGGTGATAACACCTCCAATAAACCCAATAAACCAAAACGTACTTATTTGTCCGCTGAAGATTCTGACATATCCAGATATTCGTTACCGTATGCCTCAAAACATCGGTCACAGCGTATCGCCAGTCAAAATATGGATCTTACAGCAGCTACTAGCCAGCTTAAACTCAGTTCCAGTCTAAGCCAAAGCTCTAGTTATGACCTGGCATCTGTGAACATGGATACAAATAGTGTCGCAGGATCAATTAGTGACACAGATACAGATATAAATGAGGCTAACGAGCAAGAAAGGGATTGGTGGTTGAGAAAAGATTCTTTAGGTTTAAGTTTTCTAGATATTAATGAAAGAAGGTAAAACGCCATCATTCACTCATTATATTTATCTCATGCTAAAGTTTGATTTACCTCGTTAGACTACCTCTAATTATAGCAAGAGACACATCATTTAATCAGTTCGCAAAACGAGTTAATAATGATAGGAGGTTCTTTGACTATCAACACGGCACTGTAACTATTATTGAGTTACCTTCCGGTGATCACGAATCTGCAAACAGCAAACTTGGTTATCTGTTTAACAAAGGTGTCGATAATAATACAACACCACAAGATGGTGTAGAAGCATGGGGATCAAAAAGTAAGTCTCAATAAGAATTTAGCCTGCGTATTTTGCTGTGCTGAAACTAATTTTATTTCATCCAGGTTTATACACTAATCTTGTAACAAGAAGATTTGATGAGCCGGACAAATGTTATATACCCAGACGTCTACTAAATCCACAAATCGCAGCACAACATCCTTGTGATCAAGGAGTTTGTATAATTTATTAATATAACTATTTGATTTGTTAGATATGAAAAATATGAATTTCATATATATTTTTTTTTTTTTTAGGGAAATCCATGGCCAACAATAGTTTTCGAAGTCGCATGCTCAGAAACACTTCAGCACGTAAAGAATAAAATAAATGATGTTTGGCTAGCACCAAATCGGTGTGAAGACGTTATTGTTATCAAATTAGGTAGATGGATGAGAAGACGTCATAATACGACGACTAGACGTCCTTTGCGTCATATGCGGGTTAGTATAATTTTGTGATTTTTTTCTTCACATTTCATCTGCTTAATCTGTTCTTTTGTATTCTTGACAGTGCCTAAAATTTTGTCGGACTGCAACTCTTCAGCAGAACCCAAATGCTACATCATTTGATGCAATTGAAGAGGTAGGATTGGTGTGTTTTTACATTGTTATTATTTTTTTTGCTTGTTTAGCTCACGTTATTTGTCACTTTCAGATTGAGTTCGGATCTGTATTTTCCAATGGCATGGAGAGTTTCTTTTGCGATGGTCCTCATATGAAATGGCTTACAATCGATTGTAGTTGTATATATGCTGGTTGTCAACAACCTATTCCTTCGTTTCATGCTGTTGTCTCTTCACAACCTCTCCCTCAACCTCAAGGACCTCCTCAACCCCAAGGACCTCCTCAACCTCAAGTTCCCTATCCTCTTCAAGGACCGGGAATTGCTATTGACTTGTACGATTTACAACAATCGATTTTTTTAGCTATGGGTCCAAATTGAAAGTGCAAAAATAATTCAAAATACAAAACCGGGAATTGCTATTGGCTTGTACAATCGATTTTTCTAGCTATGGGTCCAAATTGAAAGTGCAAAAATAATTCAAAATACAAAATTCAAATTTATATATAAATAATTCTTAAATAATTCTTAAATAATACCGGTTAATATTTCTTCACCCTGTATTTGCTTAGCAATTTCAATATAAAATAAATAAAAACACACACGTTAAGTATATTTGCTTAGAAAAATAAAAACTTGTAAAACAAACAGCTGTTTATTCAATCGTATAATTTTTGCATACAAACTTTTTTTTTGTGCAAAACTATATCTAATAAAATGTTCCATTATAACCATAAACATATTATCGATAGACTTCCAGATAGCCTGGTTAAAAGGGTGTATCAAAGTCTTTTGAATCACTCTAAAAATCCTGTCCTATTAGAATCTATTTCTGAGAAATCTGAACGAATTGAATTCTATTTGAGGCATACATTAAAGGTTTATGCGAACTTGTTAAATAAGAAACGATGCAAGAAATCTATGTATTATGTTGAATTAAAATTACAAATAAACTTATTAAACTTTAAATAAAGCTATCAAAGTAAATAATATAGTATAAGATATAAATGAATTAAATAAAGAACATAAAACTCAGTTTAATTACAATAAACCTTTGCCAATTCTACCATATTACCTTTTCTTATTAAATCAATATTGTAATATTTTTTATAATATTACTATAATAATAATGTCAATTTAATTCTTATAGTTACATTTACAAATTTGAAAACAGATGTCTCTAGTATATTTAAATAAATAATCAATAATTAATATGAATATTATATATTCTATATACTGTATACTTCTACTTTCTCCAATATTGGGCCCACTTATGTATAGTTTCAATAACCTGCGGAAATAATGCACTAACTGAATCATTAATTAAATTTTGGAAATATTTAATGGCTTCTTCTTCCGTCAGATCCAATCTAAATTTCTCTTGGACCTAAAAGTAATACGGTTAAAATAATTAAACAAAACAAATGTAACAAATATACAAAATATTCTTTTGTATTACCTTCCAGACAGCCTTATCAGGTTCAATTTTAATGTCGGGTATATTCGCATAAACCATTAAAGCAAATAAATTAAGAATCAAATTTGCACTTTTCCTGAGGATGTTAAAAGCAATATAACAATAACTTTTGAATCGTTGATAATGAATGGAATTTGCTCCACCCATTGCTTCAACCATTTCTTTACAAAGTTTCATTGGTGGAGGGAAAGGTTTTGGATCTCTTCCTAAAATAAATCCAAAATCAACATGGAATAAATTTCCTGTATTCACGGTATAAAAAAAAATGTGAGTAATTATTGTTACATAATATTGGTAAGAACTTTAATTTAGTTACCTTCAGGTGAAAGTAGTAAATTGTCCAAATGCCGATCACCCACTCCCAACAAATATGTAATGACACAGTATCCGGCTATAATTAAAGAAATTAACAATTTTAAGAAAGAAGAAATATATAAAATGAATTTATTAATTATCTATACACTACCACAACTCTTAACATAAGTATCCATCACTGCGGGACTAACTCCATAAGTTCCTACAGCTTTTTCTTCTGGGTGATGTGCTTTTAAAAACATCAAAAGACTACCATTATATTCGCTCAATACGTTTGCTAATGAGGATGATGGGATGAATTGCATTAAGCCGTGATCTGCGCCCGTAGCGAGGACTTTATATGGTGTCAATTTTAAATCTAAATTCTCTACTCGCAACAACTTATCCATAAGTGTAATGATTTGAATGACAAGTTGGTCCTGACGAAGGTCATCTCCAGTTTTGAACATTACCTAAATATCAATATACGATATACTGATAAGTACAAGATAAAAATGAGTTAATTTAAATTAAGGTTATATTACTTACAGGATACTCGCCACCATCGGCCAAAGAGAAAGTTAACCGTAATGGGAACAAGTTACTCTTGAAAACACTTGTTTTTTCTAATAAATTATGTTTATATTAAAAAAAAACCCAACTTAATTAAAAAATTGTCATGAATTGATACGATTTCTTTACCAGGAATAATTCCAGTTACTTCAATACGTGCATCAAGGGGTAATGGTAAAGGAGGAAATTGTAGGAGTCCATTTTTAGGATCTGATATTATAGCTCTCAATCTTTCAATCTGGAAAAAACGATAAATTTAATTACTTCATTATGAGAAATTATAGTTTATTAAGTTACCTTTTTCGGTCTTGTGTCTTTCATATTACGAATTTCTTTGGAAAGAGAAGATAAATTTTGAACTAATTCTCCTTGTCTACGAAGAATTTCTCTTCGTTGATCGATCTAAAAAAAAATTTTTAAAATTTAAAATTAAAATTATTAAAATTGAAAATAAAGGCATTTAAATATTAATAATCTAATCTTATACATCTTATACCTTCGTCATCTCTGTCATGAACCGATAATCAACTTTACCATACATTTTGCTAACAGTTTTATTTCCATCCTCGCATTCAACCATAAGATACCTAATGTTTGAAGCGTAATTAGTTTATAAGACATAACGCATATAATAAATTAATATTATGACAAACCAATGAAAATTATTTCCAAGTATCGGGTTCTTAATAGCTCTTTCAATCAAAAATTCTGCCAAACTTGATGAACTGGACTTATCACTTATATTTTCGAATTTCAAAGCTTGTACAAGTTGCAAAAGATACAATAATAGTTCCTAGAATGAAGTTACTATAAATTAGCAAAATTTAAACAAGAATAAAAACCATATTAACGTACATCATCATCAGCCTTCTTCAATTGACTAACAGCATATCCACGAACTGATCTGTCCTTAAAATTAGCTCCTAACAATTCAAGAGCATCATCCAAATCAATATCAACCCATTTAGGCAGCAACTCAACAGCCTGCTTAGCTTCTGTTGAATCTGACCATGCAACACATTTCAAAAACTTTGTAAGTGCCTAATTATAAATCATTAATGAAAACATAAATCATTAATATTTTTTTTTAAAAAAAAGCATAAAATTGTAAAAAAATATATAAATATATATATATCAATAGTTAATTTTAATTTACCTTCTTATCACGCGTAAGATAAAATCTGAAATTCCAGAGTAAATCTTTTTCTTTTTCTGTCAAAGGTTTTGTAGGAGGATATTTCAAAATTCCCTTTTTATAAATAAATTTTAAAATTGTCAAATTATTTATTAGACTAAAATTATAAAATAATTTACTTTTTACTCACATTGAGTTCATCACGTGTTTTAGCATCCGGTTTTAAATCTCGGTCGAGTGGTCCGTTTCGATGACTTCTCACCAAACGCCTATGTTTTCCTTCAACCGGGTTTTCTCTATTAATTTCTGGATCTACAATTAAAACCATATTTGACTCAGATGACGAAGTCAATAATGCAGGCTGTGTTTGTCCATTTACCGGAGGAGTTGGAGCTACAGGTAAAGGGTATTCCTATAAAAGATTTTGGTTTTTTTTTAATAAAAAATTTCTATATAAGTTGCAGATAGTATTACATACCGGCTCGCTAAATACTATTGGAAAATCATCGAATTTGGGTAAATCTATATATAAATATAGTTTCTTTGACTTTGAAGATTCTTCCTAGTTAAATCGGAAAATGCATATTAACACACAATATAATAACCACAAACATAACATTTCTAAAGTTTTTACTTTGTGAATTTTCTCAATTTGCCGAAATGCAAGATTATCCAACCAATCAAGTCTAGTTATATCATTTCTATCATATCTTTTAACAAGCTATAAACAGTTAAAAATATATAAATAAAAAATAACAAAATTAATAAATGCAAATTCAAATTCCTAATAAATTAAGATATTCTTGCTTACTTTCTCTAACCGATCCATTTCATCTACTTCACCGATCTTACTTGGTGTAGTCGTATGATCACGACCATCAGCTTCAACATCAGGCCACAGATATAATTTGTGCTTCCCTTTTCTTAGTTTACTATGTATAGAGCAACCAACTTAGGACCAGTATTTTAATTCATAATTTAATTAATTAATGAAGAAAATTATTATTTTACTTATGCTTTCCGAAAAGTCGAAATGTAGTTCCACCTACAGGAACAGCTTTACGTGGTCCATAAATGTCCCATACTGTGAATACAAGCTGAGCAGTAATGGGTAAATCACAAAATTTTATAGGAATTGTAAGCCATTCATTCCAACTGCCTTTCCCACAAAATTATTAAAAATGTTAATATTATTAGGAATAACAAAAACTAAGCAGATGACTTTGAGTTAAATACCAACAGCCAATGATTCTTGAATGATTTATATGAAGTTCGAATTGGTATGGTCAATGGTTTATTGTCTGCATATAATTGGCAAGTTACATATAAATCAGAAAAATCACTAAAAGAATAAAATAAAGGATTAAATCAATATCTTATTTACTTTGAGAATTAAACAAATTGTAAAGCATACTTAGTCTGCACGCCAGTAAACTTCAAAGTAGGATCATCAAGTAATGTTGTAAATGGTTTCTTTTCTCTGATTCCTTCAAGGACTGAACTGAAATTGTAATATTCGAAAATGAGCCAATTTAACTCGCATATAAGCAAAGTTATAATTGCATTACTTACATTCGGACAGTTAAAGGAGTATTTAAATCTTTAGTTAAACAGAATGAGTACGAAAAATCTTTAGGCTGAGTCGATTCGTAATCCATCCTTTCAGTTGTGTTAAATATTCAAGAGAAAGAGGATAAGAAATAATGATTTATGATTTACCGAAATCATTTTTGCCTCAAATTTTGATTGGATAAGCCTAATCGAATGGCGCAGCATAACTGTAGTGAGGTATTATTTTGGGCTTGATTCATATTTGCATATCTTAACTATGAAGTAAGTTCGCGACTGAAATAAATTTAAATTGATCCTTATTTTTCTTTCATAAATTGTTTAATTCTTCACATTTCCATTTTATAGTGTAACTAAGGAAATTCATCGAATAAATGCCGGAGAAATAGACCGAAACATTTCTACTTCGGCTTCCTGGCATGCACAGTATAAAGACTCACCTTATATTTTTATCGGAAATATACCTTATGATTTGACAGAGGGAGATATAATTACTATTTTTTCTCAGTAAGCCAAAGCTTTTAAATATCTAGTTAGTTTATTATATCAATAATATTTTGAACTTAATAATTTTTGATAAACCTTTTAATGGTTCCTTTATAGATTTGGAGAAGTTCTCGATCTTCAATTAGTTCGAAATAAACAAACTGGCGAATCTAAAGGTTTTGCTTTTTTAAGGTATGAAGATCAAAGAAGTACAATTTTAGCTGTTGATAATTTAAATAATTTTACGGTAAGTTTGTATATTTAAATTAATTGCATTATCAAGCTTTTATATAAATGGTCTCTGACTATTCTTTTCGAGCAGGTCCTTTCCAATTGCCCATTTTACATAAATACCATGAAGTTTTAATAAATAGTAATATATGAGGGTAACATTAATAATTTTTTTTTTTTTTTTAATTATCATAGCTTCTTGGTCGTACCTTACGAGTTGATCATGCAAGTGCTGAGACGAAAGATGGAGAAAAGAGGACTGGAATGAATGCTGCTCCACCTTTGCTTAGAGGTGGCTGATGTTTTTATTTTTTTTATACTTTATCTTTTAAAAAATTCGTTTATTTAACCTTGATGTTTTTTCCAGGTGATGATGAATCTATATCTGGGTCAGATACCGAAGATTCAGAAAATTTCGAGGACAAAGTTGATCCAGATGATCCAATGAGAGAGTATATTATCAAGAAATTAAAGAAAGAAAAAAAGAAGGCTAAAAAAAAGGCTAAAAAAGAAAAGAAAAAAAAAAAAAGAAATAAAGATGAAGAAATAGGTGAAGAAAGAGAGGTTACAAAGAAAAGATCACGATCACGAAGTAATGAGCGAGATCTTGAACAGAATAAGCGTTCTGAAAGTTATATTCGGAATAAGTCACGTTCACGTTCTAGGTCAAGTGGGCATGATGTTCGGAGACATGAATATGACCGTGATGAGCGTGCTAAAGATGTAACACGGGATAGGTCGCGTTCAAGATCTAAAAGTCGGTATGACCGTGGACATGATCTAGAACGAAATCATGATAAAGAAAAAGTAGATAATAAAGATTTTAGAGGAAGAGATTCACAATCAGATGTTGGAAGATCAAGAAGAGTTACAAGAAGGTCACGTTCTAGATCAAAGGAAAGATATTATTCCGGGAGAGGTCATAGACAAAGATATGGTAGGTCACCCCCTCCTTCGCATAATCATGATCGTTATGATCGTCATGGTCGTCATGGTCGTTATGATCGTCATGATAATGGTAGAAATAATCGACGGAGTAGAAGTAGAAGTGTTGATAGAGATAGGAGAAGAAGTGAAAGATATTAGTGAGAAAAAAAGATTTTAATGATTATTTTTTTTTAATGAGATGAGAAGATTATCCAACGAAATTTAGAAATGGATTTTTAATACTTGCTTTTGATAACAAAGAATTTATTCGAATTATAGTGTATTACTAATTTCAATCCACTTAGCGAAATTACAATGAATTTGTAATATAACGTATAACAAATTTCCATGCCATGAACATTTAAAATTTTAAATAAACAAATAAACAAATATATAAGAATTGTAAGCATAATTTACCATCCGATTCTGATAAGTCGAGATTTTATTTTTAAACAAAGGTTATAATATTAGCATACCCGAACCGATAAAAACACAGGGTGTGTTATATTACAAATATTATGTTAAAAATAGATAGAAGGATGTGACACATTGTGACAAATTAAGTTAAGGTTAAATTTCCATAATTTATTTTCTTTAAAATTTAATTACATGTTGTATTTTGCTTTATATGGTGGTAATAGTTATAAATAATGAGATAATAATACAAATAAAGATAGTAATGATACCATAAAAATATATTTAAATTACAATAAAAGGAAAAAAAAAAAAAATCTATTTTATATATTTTTGGATAGTTGTATCGTACAAAAAGTATAAAATTACAAATGTGATAATGCGTGTTGTAAAGAGTGAAAATATGTATGATATGTATATATGAATTAAATTGGTTGAAAAATGCAAATCTATTATCTAATTATTTATAAAACTTCAAAAGTTTCATTTTTTAATAAATTTTCTGGTTTCTTTATTTAGAATTTTCGGTTTGATTATTTTTTCCTTTCTTTTCGGATTCTTTTCTTCTTTCTTGTTGAAGTTGATTAATAGCATCTTGAATATCTTGTTCAGAAATAACACCACTGAAATAAGTAGAAAAAGAATCGGGGACATAAAAATCCTTATTGAAAAAATCGTTTTTTGAATCTTCGGTAGAAGCGTTTAATGTTTTAAGAGTGTCATAGATGAGAGTTTTGGTATCAGCTGAAGACATTTTTAAAAAGATAAATTTAGAGATGAAGAATTTGTTTGTTTGTAGAGTTGAGAATAATATGAATTTTACTTGATATTGTTGAATTGTTGAATGGAAAAAAGCGTAAAAAGCGGGGCTATTTGTATCTGAAAATGAATTTTGCGTAACAAAAAAAAATTATTATTATATTCTTTATTCTTTAAATTATTTAACTCTTTATTCTTGAAGCTGTTCGACCAATTTGGGAATTATCACTTGTTCTTTGTTAAGTTCATTATTCAAAAAAAAAAGAAATTAATAATAATAATTTTTTTTTTTTGTTTTTTTTGGTTGCAAATCTATAAACCTTATTTAAAAAGGATTTTTTTGTTCAAAGAAACAAATGTGTAACAATTATTGAACGAGAAATAACAGAATAACAGCCTAAAGAAGACGCGAGTTATACCACGCTATTACACAATGCATGCTTCCTTATAGAGTAATAAATACAATTACATTATATTTTTTTCTTTTTTTTTTTCTTTATTACTTTTTATTACCTCCTCTCTCTCTCTCGATATTATTGATATTTAAATATATCTTTGTTTTAAATGTTAATGGATTTACTAATTCGTTTTCTAAACTCCTTGTTTGAATCTTCTTTTTAATTTTAAGCGTGCATTAATTTGCATTACTCGTATGTAACCTTTATTATAACGGCTAACGGTTAACGGTATCAATAGTAATAAATCATACAGATTTATTTATAATTTCCTTGTTTAGTTATTATTAATTTCACGTTCTTTGTATCCGAATAATTATCACGTGACTATCATTATTATCACGTGAATATTAATTATTATAAGGAAATCTTGATGCATTACGTCGTTATTTAGTATTATACTAAATTTTTTTATATTAAATTTTATTGTAAAATACTATGTTAATAAATAGCTTATTGAGTTTATTTATTTTATTTATATGAAACAATTGAAGCATAAAGTTATTGGATAGGGATGTTGAAATATCATCTGAATTGCTTTGCAGTTTAGTGATATTCTAAATAATATATAATTAGCATTTTTTTATATCCACATATATTATAGACGTAGTGATTGGTTAGATTCATATAATAGAATAAAAAAGATGGAGAATTTCAGCTGATCTAATGGCATAGTATTTTTAGAAAATGGAATATAGATGTAAAATCTGTGAAGAATGTAATCATCATTCTCATCTGTATTCAGTTCTTTTCTTGCTACTTCATATTATCTATTATCTAAACTACTAGTATTTTCTTTACTATCTAATCAGCATATCAGACATGTTTATTATTACATACCAATCACTTACCAATTATAATATATGTGACATCACATTTAACTTTGAAGCATTATTTCAAACCATAAATGTGTAAAAAAATCACATTAAATTATTTTATTTAATAGTTTAAAGTATTAACAGTTTAATATAAAAATTTTATGGCAAAATAAAATGTAATGCCAAAGTTAGGTTTAGGCTGAATTTTTCAATTAATTAATATATGCTGATTATTTCTTAATCAGAATTTGAAACTTTGGGCAAACTACAGAAATTTGGATAAAACTTGAAACTTTTATGAGTTATAGATTAATGTCTTTAAAATTAATGGTTAAAGCAATACAGCATAATTTTAAGTAATACAAGAGTTATAGCCAAATTAATATTTGCAATTATTAATATTGATTTAATTTAGTACAAAATTTTAAAATGCAATAATTTTGCCAATACAGATCTAATAGCAATGATTTATTATGGTGTAATGTTTCTCACAAATCAAATTAAATTGAATCAGTTTAAATTTGAATTTAATTTGGTCAAATCAAATCTAAAAATTTTAAATTTAAATTCAAATTATTCAAATCTGATTTAAAATTTGATTTGATTTGATTTGATTTAGATTCAATCTGATTTGAATTAAATAAAGTTTAATAAGTTTGAGATTCAAGTTAATTTAGTTTAATTCAATTTGAGATTTAATTCAATTTGACAATTTGATTACATTCGATTTGACAATTTGACAATTTAATAATTTGATAATTTAATTCAATTTGACAATTTGATGATTTAATAATTTAATTTGATTTGACAATTTGATTTGATTTGACGATTTAATTTAGATTCAAACAATTCAGATTTGATTCAGTTTGATTTGAGTTTGATCAAATCAAATAAATTTGATTCAAATTTGATTTAAAATCAAATTAAATTTTGTTTTTTGATTCAAATTCAAAAACTATCAAATTGAATCAAACCAAACCTAAATCAAATTTGAATTGATTCGATTTAACTGAATTATTTGCAAAATACTATTATAGTAATAATTATTTATATATAATAAAATCTGAAATTTAAAATTTTATTTATTTATATTGTATAATTTATTTTTAAAGTACAGTCACCTCTCTTTACAATGAACTTCGATATAGCGAATAACATGATATAATGGATTTTTAGTGTGATACCGATTTAAATATGAAAAAAACCCTTAATATAACGAAATTACTATTTATTTACTGTATAGTGTATAATGTAATATGAAGTAAAGTGAGTAAATTGCATATATAAAATACTACTCAATATAACAGATTTTTTTATAACAAATTTTTTTTTCAGTAAAATGAAGAATTTTTTAATATTTATTTATTAATTTTATTTATTTATTATATATTTATTTATTTAAAATATTTATTTATTTGTATATAATTTATTTATTAATTATATTATTATTACATAGTATTCTCTTTAATTAATAATAATTTTTACAATAATTTTGATTAGAATACAACCATAAATTCATGTCTTTATTTTGTTAATTTATTGCTCATTTCTATAAAAATTTAAAAGTGTTAGTAAATGTTCTAATAAAAAAAACACTCATACATACATGTTACCACATCTCTTTAAATACGTACTAAGCAAATAAATCTGTTTCGTTTAGTTGCAAGTTTTTTCTTTTGATATTATCCACCTACTGAAACTTCCAAAAAAAACAATAAAAACAGTTAGTAAATTTATAAAAAAACTAAAAAATGACTAAGATTTATATTTATACTTACAAATCTTCTTTTCATCTTTGAAAATCCACTCAAATCGAAGTCTATAAAATAAAAAAAGGATAGTTAGTAAACCGTTCCACTTTATTAAAAAAATAAAAAAAGATTAAGATTTAATCGTACTAATATTTATGAATCTTAGTTAATTCTTTCAGTTTCCATCAGAAGTCTGCTCAAAACCTATAAAAAGAAATAAATAAAAACGGTCCACTTTATTAAAAAAAGCAAAAAAAAAAAAAAGACTAAGAAAGATTTGATTCATACTTATGATTCTTAACACTTTTTCCATCACAATACCTATGAACTTTAGTTTTTTACTGTTAAAAGTTCACCTAAAAAAATAAAATAAAATAAAATTAAATAATGAACCATTAATCACTAATAAAAAAAAAGAAAAAAAAAACTAAGTTCATAATATTTGTGAATTTTAGCTCTTTTTCAATCAAAATCCATTCTAAACCTATAAAAAATAAAATAAATAAAAATAACGATTAGTAAACTGTTCTACTTTATTAAAAAAAATAACAAAAAAAAATTAAGTTCGTAATATCTATGAATAGTTTTTTTCTATTCTTAAAAGCTCACCGAAACTTATAAAAAAATAAATAAATAAAAATGGTTAGTAAAAAAAAATAAAACAAAAAAACTAAGTTCGTAATAACTACAAACTTTAGTTTTTTAAACCTAGAAGCCGTCTCTAAGAAAAAAAAAAGAAAAAAAGAATATTAATAAACATTCTTAAATGAAATTAATAAAAAAACTAAACCTCCACTTATTTTTCATTCCAGGCATCTATTTCAAAATTCAGAAAGTTCTTTACAATAAAATAAATAAAAAAAAACCTAATATTAGTAATAAAAAAATTGAATAATTGGTAAATCAGATTGACAAGTCATATGATCTGTATGACTGACATATCTATACCGAAGAATTCATTATACTATACTAAATAATTCGTTATAGTGTTAATGAAGTTATTTATAATGAAGATCTAATCAGCTAGAACGTAGGGTTCGTTATATCAAGGGGACTGTATTTTGCTAAAATATAATAATTACCACATAAGTGGCAAAATTTTTTTTGCTATATTATATAAAATTCTTATAGATTTTCATAAAATTTTTGTAAAATCCATAAAAATTACATGAAAACTAATTTGAAATTTTATGTTTTTATTATTGCTACTTATTAAAATTATCCAACTTTAACTTATAATATTAATTAAGTATAAAACTAATTAACCTACTAGTAAATTTTATATAATTATATGAATTATTCATTTCCATCATAATTGGAGTCCTTTCTGCTTACACGTGTCATCAGACTTTAAGATTTTTTGTCTGAGTTTCTTACACTGCCAATTATAAGCTGTTTGATGTCTTTTAGCTGCAGTTTCTTTCTTCTTCTTCTTGGTCTTCTTTTTGATTACCTAATCTACTTCAGTAAAAGTGTTCTTATGCATACCACAAACTGTATAATCACCATGTAAGCAATAACTTTCATTTGTGGTCATATCTTGTATTTTATTAGCAGTTTTAGTTTCATTCTTACACTTTAAGCAGTAAAATCATGTCATTTTAAGATTTGAAGTCTGAAACCTTTCCTTTAATTTGTTGTAATATGTCCGTAATACTTTTAATACAGTCAAAAAGTCAATGATGCATGGACCCTATAGTACGCTTATATTAAACTCTTCATGTATGAAAGATGGAAAATGTTCTAAAAGATATTCATGAAATTTTCAAGAATATACTACAGAAAATATGAATGGTTATCCTATATATAAATGTAGAAATGATGGTTAAACTAAAGAAGTTAAAGGAATTCAGTTGGATAATCGTTAGATAGTTCCATATAATTCTTATCTTATGGCTAAATATAACCATTATATTAATGTGGAAATTTGTTCATCAATTACAGCCATTAAATACTTTTTTAAGTATGTTTATAAAGGTCATGATCATGTTACTGTAGAGATTGGTGGAAGTGGTAATACAAATCAAATAAATAATAATGAAATAAGCTTATACCTTGATGGACATTACATTTCAGCATCAGAAGCCACTTGGAAAATATTTCATTATCGATTGCATAATGAAAAGCCAGATATTATACAACTATCTATTCATCTTTCAAGTCAACATAGAGTATTATTTCAAGATAATAAACATTTAGAAGATATATTAACCCATTCAGCAAAAGAAAAAACTATACATGCTGTCCAAATTATTTTGGGATGCCATAATTATAATTTGGGATGCCATAATTCATTCGGTTTATATATAATTTACTATGTAAAGTGCCAAAATAATTTGGGATGCCCGATGCCATAATTGAATTTGGGATTTTACTTATAATTACGGCAGTCCAAAATAATTTGGGTGGCATGTATAGAAAAAACTACTCTTATAGCATGGTTTCATGATAATACTAAATATTCATATGTAAGAAGATTAACATATGCAGAATTTTCATCTTAATGGGTCTATAATAAAAAAACTAAAGAATGGAAGTTATGGCAGCAAGGTAATTTAATAGATCGCATATATTTTATCCACCCTGAAGTAGAAGAAAAATATTACCTAAGAATGTTACTTAATGTAGTTCGTGGTTCAACATCTTTTGAAAATATTCGTACAGTAAATGGAATATTTTATCATACTTTTAAAGAAGCATGTATTGCATTAAATTTGTTGCAAGATTATGAAAAGTGGAATCAATGTTTGCAAGAGGCAAATCAAGTGTAAGGTGAAGCACAACTGTGTAAACTATTTGCAACTATTCTTTTATTTTGTGAACTGACAAAACCTGAAATACTTTGGGAAAAGCATATTTTTGCCCTTAGTGATGATATTTTATACCAAGTTCGTCATAATTTTAATAATATAACACTTGAACTTACAGATAATGATATACATAATAAGGTTTTATATCATTTATAAGTCATTTTAAGTAAAAATGTATGACTTTTTATTGAGTTTCCAAATATGCCTATTCTACCTACCACTTTTAATAATGAAAGTAATCGTTTAATTAGAGAAAAGCAGGAATATGATATTGAAGAACTTTTAAAACTTGCAAAAGATGATTTTTCAAGTTTAAATACAGAACAACAGACTATTTTGATGAAGGTATTAAGACAATAGAAATTAAAACTCTGGCTATTTTTTTTGTAGATCGTCCAAAAGGAACTGGAAAAACTTTTTTATATAGGTAAAAATTATTTTGTCTTATATTAGTTAATACATATATTATAGATTAATTTTAATTTTAATTATATATATATATATATATAGCAATTTACTTGCAAAAATTTGTTTAGAGAAGCATATTGCTCTTGCTATAGCATCTTCAGGTATCGCAAGATCTCGCTTACTTATAAGATAGGTTATCCTCAGGCTTAAGGTAAAAATCATATATAAAATTCTTTGCAGATTCTACTATAAAAGAAAATTTTATGTTACATTGTTATGATTTTTTTCCTTTTTAGCTAATTAATCAATAGAATTTAAGAAAAAAGTAAGGTAAAAACTATTAGTAAAGACTCAATTTTCTACAGTGACCTTTATTATAAATAAGCGGAATCCTAGTATCGCTATTCTTCTTTTACCAGGTAGTCGAATAGCACATTCCTGTTTTAAAATACCTTTTGAAATACATGAAGATTCTACTTGTACTGTAAAATATAGTTCTAATTTAGTTTTATTTTTGCAAGTTATACAGCTTATTATTTGGAATGAAGTATCAATGATTCATTGACATGCATTTGAAGCTGTAGATAGAATGTTAAGAGATATTATGAAAGCTGTAGATTTATCTTTAGAAAACCAACTATTTGGAGGTAAAGTAGTGGTATTTGGAGGTGATTTTTGCCAGATACTTCCAGTAGTAATAAAGGGAAGTCATGAAGATATTGTAGGATCTTACTTACAATGATCAGCATTATGAAAACATGTGAAATTAATGACATTAAAAACTAATATATGTCTTTTTCGTACTGTAAATGAACCAGATACTATTAAAGGTCAAATTCCTACTATTGATGTATTAGCAAATAATATTATTTAACTTCCAAATGATATTGTTTTACAATCACAGAAGATCAATGATCTTATTCAATTGATTTATCTAAATCTATCTATCATTAATTCAAATCCTAAATATTTGGTTAAATAAGCAATACTTGCACCAAAAAATGTGGATGTATATTTGGTTAATACAATCATTATGGATCAATTTCCTGGTGAAGCAGTTGAATATCTTAGTGCTGATACAATAAAAGAACAATCAAATTCAGAATATCAGTATTCCATTGAGTTTTTAAATTCCATAACAATTGGTGGACTTCCACCTCATAAATTAGTATTAAAAAAATGATCTCCAATACTATTACAAAATATTAGTCCATCAGAGAGCCTGTGTAATGGAACAAGGTTGGTTTGTTGTTCTTTTCAGAAGAATGTTATTAAGGCAGAAATTATTACTGGAAAACATGCTGAAAAACATGCTTTTCTTTTACGTATTACCTTGTCTCTTACAAATGCTACTTTACCTTTCACTTTTAAGCATTGTCAATTTTCAATACAACCAGCTTTTGTAATGACTATTAATAAGTCACAGGGTCAGACATTAAATTGGATTGGATTGTATCTTCCAACTCCTGTATTTGCTCATGGACAATTCTATGTTGCCTGTTCAAGGATAACAACAAAAAAAAATTTAAAAATCATTACCACTAAAGATAATAATAGAAATTTAATAAATTGTACTTATAATATTATATATTCAGAAGTTTTTCAATAATTAGAAATTATAGTAATATACTAAAAATTGTAGAAATAAATGTAAAATGTAAATTTATTTATATAGTTTATTATTTTTTATATATAGATTTATTTTACATTATAATTATTATTATATATAAAGTAAAAAATAGAATGTTGACGTAGTCAACAGGTACTACTAGTAGATATTGAAAAAATTAGCATTAGATTGTATTGAGAAGTGGAAAGAATCAGTTAAGTATTGAAATGTTTCCTCCCTCTGAACGTCCACTACTCAAATAGATTTTGTTAGTTTAGCACTGACAATTCATTTATAAGAGTAAAGATTTCGTTTAACTTTTTAAATGTAGCAATTTTGTTTTATTGATAAAAATGTTCCTAATCAAGCAACGTTACTGAATATCTGAATCATAGATTAGAATTAGTCTTAATCTGAAATGCACCTTCAGTTACCTTCTTCATAGCAACATGATTTCGTATTGGATTATCAGAATCAGCATTTTCTCCATTACTATCAGATTTAGCAATTATTTTAGTATGTTGTTCTATTTCACTCTCTATGATCTGATCAAGGTCACATAGAGCACATTTCGCAAATTCACTACTGTAAGTATCTGGAAGTTTCCATTTGTGATACAACTTCTTATGTCCTCCAGAAACTGTAATTTTATATCCTTTAGATCGTAAAAATTTGATGTATGATTCACATAAGTAACAACATTTCTTGGATACTGCTATAAATTCATTATGTTCCTTGCTTAATATGTCAGTATTAGTCAATATGTTCAACTCTACATGTAAATATATGTGATTAATTCTTCCACGATCTAATTGTCCACCTGTGCCACCATATATCTCGTTTAGTCTATCTCTTATTTTCTTATTTTTTAAACAATTTTTCTTAAAGTTTTTGAAACTCTTTTGAATAGGAATATACTTTTTGATAATATCAGTCCATGAAGATATGAGTTATTCAACAGGAACAGGATCCAATAAACGCAAGTCTATACAAGAAAATGGTATTTTATACTTATCTTTACATGCACAATTAACAATATCCATCACAGATGCAGCATAGGATCCCACTTTTTTGATGTGTCCTAGGAATCTTTGCGGATAATTTTTGTTTTTTTTATTGTATTTATAATACTCGCAACAAGCTGTGGTCATTAAATATTCGAATTTCGATATTTCTTTACCAGATGATTCGTTAATCTCATCTAGATTATTAACGTTAATCTCAGAAGATTCTAGGAATTCTAGAAAAGATTTAATATGTGGTTGGTGTTTATTATTCTTTATATCTTTCTTAAGTTTGTTCAATCTACGTCCTAACTTAACAGAACAGTACTCCAATACATTATAAAATAAAGCAAACACATCCTTTCTTTCAGCTGCTTGTTCGAAAGTTATGGGATCATCTTTAGATAAATTTTTCATGAGTACTTGAATTTCTTCGATATATTTAGTATCTTTATTAAGCCATTTATTATTCTTTGAAATGTAAATTCTACACTTGTTGGGTAAAATTTTCAAGTTAACCGCTACCACTTCATTGTTTCTTGCTAATATCGTTGCTAAGTTATGGGAAAATTGGTCACTCTCTGACAAGTTAATTTCTTCTTTACTTGCTTCATTGGTGACAAATTTTATGCTTCTAGCAACACACACTTTACTATAAAATTCTGTAAGTTCTGACATTGGGTTTGCCCTTTTTGCCTTTTTTGCCATTCTACCTGTTTATAAATGTTGAAAAATGTGATAAATGTGGAAAATATTTTGAACATCAGTTGCAGTATTTTGTTACAGAAAGAAAATTAGTATTTATCAACACCAAAGAATTTGATATTGTATTACATGATGTAATGATGATGCACTATTTTAATGTAATATAATGTGCCACAAAATTTTGTGGGTGTGGTTTAATGTAATAAATGAGTTGAACGAGTCAATATGAATAAAACTTTACCAAAAATGTCAAATGTATAAATTTATTTAATTAATTTTGAACTCGTTGATAAAATATTACAAAGACAATATTAAGTAGTATCAATAAAAAAATTCTAAATAGAAATATTAATAATGAGAATTCTTATTATAGTATTGTTTAAGAATAGAGAAGAAAAATTATATAATAACGCAAATACTTTGTTCAACTGGTAAAATTATCATTATTAATACTATATTTTATGATCTTTAAACTAGGAAATGATAACCGTTGATACATCTAAAGCGTCATAAATTACATCATGCTCATAATAAAATGTAAGAAATCAACGAAATCAATTGTTTTATTTTTTTTATTTTTATTTATTTTCAGTTATTTTAATTTTTATTTTAAAAAAAAACAAATATGGCGTAAAAAACTTACTGAGGGAATATAAAAATTTTTAAGAAATTTGAAATTAGGGGACATAAACAAGCACGTCTGAAATCTGTGCCAGATTACGCCAAATTCAGTAACAAATAACAGGTGACAAATAAGTTTTGGACCACAAAAAAGAACTGTCCCTCAGATAAATAGTGTTTTTAAAACTCAGGCTTGCACGTGACTATGTGATGCTAAATAATGCTAAACATCACTCCTTACTCTAAAGCTAATATATTCAGCATTTTCAGATCAGCCATAAACAAAAAGGGTTATACATGAAAACAAATTTAAGGTTACACCTAATCCTAAGATTTTATTGGTCATACACACGTGCGGACAGACAACACATGTATGGTTTGGAGTAGAATGGAAATACGCTTCAGACAACAAGTCATTTTTAATATAATTGATAAAAAGAATTCAATTGGTAATCAATTTATTACATAATAAAAGAAAGCATTACAATATTAAAATTACAGAAGTAATTACAATGTAAAAAGAATTATATATAGATATGATACCAATCATACTAATAAAACACTAAGGAATCATAATATCACATAAATAACCCTTTAGATGTGAGCAACATTATTGTTGCAATCATGATTATGGTGATTAATAAAACTAGTAATTATTACAGAATCTGTATTCTTTATTCTATTGATATTGCATACCCAAGAACAATTTATTTTGTCTGATTGTTAATTTCTTTGTTGTATATGATCATCAATAACCTTCTTTAATTTATGAATTCTTCCATAATGACATTCAAAAGACCTTCTTACAATTATTGATTTATCAGTTTTATCTTTTTCTATTCACCTTTTATGATTACAAATCCATTTGATTTTGCATACTGATCAAGAAAACATTTTGCAAAGTCATAATTATTAAAAATTATTCCAATTTCTGGTGAAATTAGATTCAGATCAATTTCTGTTTTCTTTTCTTAGTACTCAAAACCATCTATAGTTGAAAATCTAGGTAAATATCAAAAAAATCAATATTAATAAAACAAAACTATATACTAATACTTACCATCATTATTTTCAAATTCATCTAATTTATTAGCAATATAACTATTATTATCATCAAATATTATTATAGAATCATTCAATTAATTTCATCATTATAATTATCAATATTTATTTTGAAAAAAAAAGAAAGTATATATATAAAAAAATAAAAAGAAAGAAATATTTGTATATAAAAAGAAAAATTTACTTTTACAAAATTATTTTGATTTAATTTACATCAGTAAATAAAATAATATTATAATAATCACATGAAACAAACTTTTATGGTAATAATTACCTGTGGCAGTATTAAGAATTTGTCTTAAATTTTATATTTATAAATTATATAACCTGGTTTATTTCATCTAAGGGACAAATTAGTAAAATTCAATAATATATATGTATTTTTACAATAATTTGATATTAATGCTAAAAATGCAATTTTATATATTTATTGCTATTAAATTCTTTTTATTAAAACAAATTTAACAATATAAATTTTATTAAAATCTAATTAATAAATCTTTTAGAAATAGTAATATATAAAATAATAAAATTTTAAAAATAATTCTAATTAAAATTAATATATAAATTCTATATAAATTTTAACTACTAATATAAATTATATTAAAAATATTTAAAATTAAAATTTTATAATTTAGTAAAAGTAAAATAAAAAATAAAAATAAAAAAATAAGGTATTAAATTTAAAAAATATTGTTTTTTTAATTTCACAGTACATTTACATATATTAGAGTAAAATATTAAAAAATAGTATAAAACATAATTAATTCACAAACTTGTTATATATTAGAATATCTTATATATGTACTATCAACCTTCATACTTTTCTTTCCAGTTTCATCAAAAATTTAAAAATAAATTAACAATTAAAAATAGATTTAAAGGTTTTAAGAATAGTACTAAGAAAACTTTTAACTTAACAAATAAAGTCACAAATACAAATAAAACTTTTTTAAATATACAAATATACAGTTGCGTCTCTATGTACTGATATTATATAGAACGATATTTTCATATACTTATAGAATTTTCATGTCCTATTAAAAAAACCTTGTTGTACTGATATTACATATTGTTTCACAATGTAACATGTACTGATAGTTTTCTTTGTTCCCTTTTAATTAACATATAGTAAGATGTACTGATATTTTAGGTTATACCAGCATATAACCTTACTTAATGCGTCATAGTGCATCTTTGTTTGCTTTAGAAATTATGTCTCAACTACAAGTAAAAAGGAAGTTAACTCAAAATGCTTCTCAAACAAAGAAAAGAGTCGTTTTAACATATGCACAAAAATGATAACTCTGTTTAGATTATAAAAATATGTCACAGCTAAGGTTGCTTGTCTAAACCTCTTCAAAATCCTACGATTAGTTTCGTCAAAATTTTACTATAGATTTATTATAGTTTCGGCAGAGTTTCAGCAGTTTAGGCATTTATAATAAGTTTCGGCAGTTTCGTCTTTCTCCAAAGTTTTGCCAGTTTTTTAATATAACTTTAATATAGTTTCGGCAGAATTTCGCTTTTCGGCGAAACGCCATCTTGCCTAAACCCCTAGGTTTCGGCAAGCAACCTTAGTCACAGCCTACTCAAGAAGGACTTGCCACCTTGAATAATATTAAGCAAAATATAGTTTCTGATATCTTAAAAAAAAAAGAAAAGTGGCTGAATGTAAATCTAGACTCAAAAGAGTCAAATAAACAGAGGGAAAAGCCTGTTCACTTCTCTCAAGTAGAGGAGGCTCTTTTATTATGGATAACTAATGCACTTTGCTGCAGATCTTATTATTGGGATCCATCCAAAATCCCAAAACTTAAAATCCCGAAGGTACAAAATCCCAATACTCTAAATCCTGAAATGTTAATATCCTGAAATATCAAAATCCCAAATTGTCAAAATCCCAAATTGTTATAATCCCAAATTTTATAATTCCGATACCCCATAATACTGATTTTCTTTATTTTATTAATAAATTTCAAGATTTTTCTTTTCAGTATTTTTCTTTTCTGGATTATGAAGTGTCGGATTTATGAAATGTCAGGATTATGTCAATTTGGGATTTTGATATTTCAGGATATTGACATTTCAGGATTTCGAGTATCAGGATTATGTACCTTCAGGATTTCGAGTTTCAGGATTTCGTACTAAACCCCTTATTATTAATATTAATATTTTACATGAAAAAGCTAAATTTTTTGCATAGCAGTTTGAAGTTAATAATTTTGCAGCTTCTAATGGATGGATTAATGAATTTAAAGAACGTCACAGTTTAAAATAGTATGTTAAGTAGGGTGAAGCAAAAAGTACGCTATTAGAAACATTAGACGAATAAAGAAAGATTTTACGTAAAATCATTAAAGATTATGATTTAAATGATATTTTCAATTGTAATGAAACAGGTAATCCTAAATTTTCTTTAAAATAATTGAATAATATTCTAATATTTACTGTTTATATTTTAGGATTGTATTTGGATCTTAAACCATCAAAGATATTAGCATAAGGCCACTCTCCAAAAAAAAAAAATCAAAAAAATATGTTACACTTCTGCTTACATGCAATGCAACTGGGACTGAGAAATTAAAGCCACTTTTTATCCATACTTATCAAAATTCACGAATCTTACATAAAAAAAAGGAAGATTTACCAGTTAATTATTATTGGAATTCAACTGCTTGGATGCAAGTTCTGATATAGAATGATTATCTCACAAAATTGGACAGACAGATACGATTACAAGACCGCCACATTCTTTTACTGGTTGATAATGCACCAGTGCATATCATAGATGAAAATACAAATTTAATAAATGTGGCTGTGTATTTTTTGCCACCAATTGTGATGCAGGGATAATTAATTCTTTTAAAGTGAGTGATAGTTTTTTAATTAATTTAAACACAGTAAAATTTTACAATCTAGATTCAAATTATATTGTATTAATTATGTAATTCTTTAATAATTCAGGCACAGTATCAAAAATTACTCGTTAGAAACAGAATCAGGGCATATGAAATTTCACAAGAATTAAGAAAAGAGACTGTTTCATTAAATATTTAGGGACGTGCCAGAAATCACGTAATTATGCTCAATTAGAGATCTGACCCTAAGTATATAGAAAGTAAATAACATAAGATGGTTAAGTGAGTAGCATAATATCATACATTTTGCTTACGTTACTTCCCCTAAAAAGGTATAGAACGTAATGTGAATTTTTAATTACTATATGTTACTCCCTTTACTATTTTCAATTGTATTACATAAATCTATAAATAAAGTACATTAATAACAATATAACGCGTTATAATTATTTATTATATAATCATGACTTGAATATTCAATAATATACGTGTTGACCACATCATCTTAACAAATCTTTTTATTTTTTACATTTTTGTCCTAAATTTTTTTTCCATTTGTGTTAGACTTTTGTGTTTGACTCTTTGGCTTTCACACTATTTCAACAATTTTCAATATTATAGATGTAATAAGTTCTTGTAAGTAGTGTAATACAACAGTTTTTCTGCAAAAATCAAATTATTAATTTGTAAACAATATTGTTTTTGCTATTTTAGATTGTATCTTTGCAAAAAAATGGAAACTATTTATGACTTTGATAATACAACTAATATAGTGGAGTCTGATTTTCAGTTATCTAATAATGAAAAATAATAAAACACTACTATGAATAAATTTGAGATAACTATATTATTAAGTATTAAGTGAAGTATGACATTGTGATATTATTAGTTAAAGATTTTTATGCCACAATTAGAATAATCTAACTATTGGAGATTTTGGGAAAAACTTAATAATAAATGATATAGAATTTCATTTAGAATTACAAGAATATCCTAAAACCTTAGAAGATGGAATAGCTTATGTTTATAGTGTATCTGCATTTGATAATAAAAAGGCAAGAGAATTTTTTAACCTTAAAAATATTTAATATGCAATGGATAGCAAAAGTGGGACGGCATATGAATTTGAATGTGAATTTCTTGGAATAAAAGCCATGAAGAATATAAGGAAATGTCATGAGGTTAAAATGTGTTCCCATTCTGCTGAAGAATTAAATTCTTCACATGATTCAGTAAAATTTAAAACCAATACCTATAAGAATATATACAATACTTATAAACATTCAATTGAAAAGTATACAATCAAGTAAGTCATTTGCCTTTAGATCCTTTAGATTTTGTAAACCTATAAATTTGAATACAATAAAACTAATAATAAAATAATACTTGTAGTTTTTTTGTAATATGTTCTAAAACTTCTTGTCAGTTTATAAATTGTAATGGAAGTCCAAAGATTTGCAGACACAAAGTAGTATGTATAATAATTGTCTATAAATAATTAATTTTTTTATAATTAAATTTTTTGATTTTAAATTAACCATTAAATCAATTAAATATATTATAGCTTAGTGAAGGTAGTTCAACAAAATATTTTATTGGATGTAATAGATTACTATACATGCTGTCCAAATTATTTTGGGATGCCATAATTATAATTTGGGATGCCATAATTCATTCAGTTTATATATAATTTACTATGTAAAATGCCAAAATAATTTGGGATAACATAATTGAATTTGGGATTTTACTTATAATTACGGCAGTCCAAAATAATTTGGGTGGCATGTATATAATAGATGGAAAAAGGGGAATCTCATAGGTATTTAAGATACCTTTAAATGTAAATATTGAGCGCTTAAAAGAATTATTCCAAAATTACAACTTTTATGCTAATTCTACAGAAAAGGTATATATACATTTATTTATACATTTATATATTGAAATATGATTAACATGTCAACATGTCAGATTAAATTCTTTTGTTTATTCTATTGCTTATCAATTTATATTTATTTTATTAGGATTTTACATCAAATACAGCTCTTGATAACTGTTATACTGTACTTCCATATAACTCAAAAAATAAAAAATGCTGTAAGAAATTTTAATTGCTATTATTTGTTTTAATAATGATGTTGAATATAACTGTTAAATGCTTTTATTTCTATATGTATTTTTCATCTTTTGCTAGATTTTCCACATAAATTTTCTAACAATACAGTTACTAATGGTGGTTTAATTATACATAAACCATGTCAAGTTAGATTCTATTGTATAATTCCATTAGATCTGGAAAAATGCCCCTATATTGTGATAATTTCCAAGGACATACATGCACATCCTCCTCCCCCTACCTGTTAAAATACCAATAAATTTGGTTGAAGATTTACAATCTATTATGAACGATGAAAATTTGTCAAATCTTACAGCTAGAAAGTTTTTGACTAGTAAGTCTTTTTTAAATAAAAATTTTGTGATAATATATTTCTTAAACTTATTTTATTTTTTTATTTTTTATTTTTTAAAAAATATTAGAACTAACACTGCTAACATATTTAAATGGCTTATCCTTGAATTCCATTCATCCAAGCTTAAATAATCAATCAAAAGTCAATTATTTAATTGCAAAAGAAAAAAGATCAAAACATCCACATAGACAAAATATTTTTAGTACTTATTTGAAATATTAAAACTTAAGCATTATAAACTTATTAGAGTATTTATTTTTATTTATATTATCATTAAATAATAGGTACTGTGCATGAGTTTATAAAAAATAAAGATTTAGATGATGCTTATATATGTAAAATAAGTAATTTTACTTTGACATTTTATGGTTTATTTATTAAGTTGATTAAAATCAGTGAATTAACAAACACTATTAAATAATTCTTAGAATTTTTCCAAAATGGACAGATACTTGTTCTTTGTATGAGAAAAGAGCAATCTTTTGCATTATTAGATTTATCCTATTTTGAAATTGATATAGCATTTAAAAGAATTTAAGGAGAAATCAAAGAATGGAAATTAGTTGCTTATATTGAAAATTTTCAAAAAAGTATGTAACTTTTTTAAATTTTGTTGAACTTAATATACAATTTCTAATAATTAAACTAATCATCAATAATTCAATTTCATATGCGAAAATTTGATTTATATTTTAATTTACGTCTAAAATTTTAAACTCCAATCCAATTTATCTGAAAATTCAATACTATCATTTCATTTATCCTATAGCTTTGACATTTGCAAGAGTTTTTACAAACAATGAAAGCGTAGATGCATATCAAAATATGTTTGCAGCTGTGTTTTCAGTTGTAAAGGAAGACACAAATAGTGAAATTTGTTTTTATCATATTGATGGTAAAGGAATAGGATGTATATTGGTGGATGCACATTCACTTTTAATTGTTTGATTTTTCTGAAAATTATTTGATTATTAAATTATGATATATTTAGGTTTGGGACAGTATTTGAATAACAGATATCCTTATTTATCTGCTATTGAGCATTTGAAACATATTTATAAAATCTGTTTAATTCACTTTAATAGGTAAATGTTAGTTTGCTTAATTTATTATTTTATCATAAATATTTAATATGATATCTTATATGATTATTTTTATAGAAATATCAGACAAAATCTAAAATACCAACTGAAATTAAAAAAATGATGTATGCAATACCACATTTTGAGACAAAAGCTAAAGTTCTGAATGTGCTTGAACAAATAAAGCTCATACAAAATAAACAAGCAATTGGTAATTAACATTTTATTTATATTCATCTAACCAGTTATTATTGATAATAATTATTAATTTTTATAATTTAATTATTAGACTGGGTGAATAACAAAAGCAAAGAATGCAGTTTGGCAGAACCTCACTTACTTATAAGATAGGTCACCTCCAGGCCTAAGGTAAAAATCATATATAAAATTCTTTGCAGATCCTACTATAAAAGGAAATTTTATGTTACATTATTATGATTTTTTTCCTTTTTAGCTAATTAACCAATAGAATTTAAGGTAAAAACTATTAGTAAAGGGCTAATTTTCTACAGTGACCTTTATTATAAGTAAGCGGGTGGGCATTTTCAAGGCATTTACATTAATGCCTGTCTCTTATACACATCTAGATGTGTATAAGAGACAGTAAGTAAGCGGGTGGGCATTTTCAAGGCATTTACATTAATGCCTATAAAAACTTGGAATTTTACAAGATTTGACACAAATATTAGTGAATCAGTACACGCAAATGTCAATAGAAATGGTACATCTTTATCACTTCTTGGAGCTATTCATAGATAAAATATTTATTAATTAAGAAAATTTGTAGCTCAGTACACAAAATTCTTTTTTTAATTCTAAAAAATTATATCAATGTATAGTGCACAATTATATGATAAAATACAATGGATAACTAGTTATATTCTTCAAACTTATAATGTTCCTGAAACTTACAAGAATAAATCTTCATTAAAAAGAATGGAAAATTCTGAAAAAAAATCGCGTATGTATTTAACAATTTCTATATGTAATAATAATTTTTATTTAAATTAGAAACAATTAATTAAATATGTTATATTATTTAAATAGAAAAAAGAAAATCTAATACTACAAAAAAAACTAACAGAATGACAAAGAAATAAAAAACAACTATTTCAAATATTGATAATAGTTATGATTCTCAAAATGCTTTAAAAGAATCAAATTTACCCAATAGACAACAACAAAAAGATATCCTTGAATTTGAAAAAGAGAGAAATAAGATTCTAAAGGAAAGGTTATCTTTAAAGAAAAAGTTATTAGAATTAGGAGGAAATTAAATAATATAATATAGTGGTAATAATAACTTTATTAAATAATTAAATATTGTAAAAAGGATATTGTGTGAAATACTTAATAAAAAAATATAAACACATATACAGTATTTGTAATTTTTTTCATATAAAAATGACTTAACATTAAAATCGTTAAATAAATATAAAAATTATATCACATGATTTGTATAAAGTACGGAATGTAAGGTAATATAAATTCCTTATATATTACTTGTATAATATATAAGGGGAGTAATGTAAGGTGTATACATGCCACCCAAATTATTTTGGACTGCCGTAATTATAAGTAAAATCCCAAATTCAATTATGGCATCCCAAATTATTTTGGCACTTTACATAGTAAATTATATATAAACCGAATAAATTATGGCATCCCAAAATAATTTGGGCAGCATGTATAGTAAGGTGGATAAAGTTCATCTTACGTTCCGTGTCTTATATATAGGAGTAACGTAGATTGAGTAATTTATGTGATCTTATGTTACTCAATTATTCAATCTATGTTACTCACTTTCTACTCCCCCTAGCCCTTCCTACCCACCATGTGATTGAATTCTGATTGGCTAAAAAAATACATATAATATATATTATATTATATTAATATATATATGTTGTGCCTCAGATTGATTCTTGTCTCAGATTAAAACTACCAATAGGATGTGACGAATTATGTATATACACGTGATGATCTACATAGTAAAATTACCATATATGTAATGCATGTGATCTGGTGTTAATCTCACGCAGCGTGAGTTTTAATCTGAGGCAAGAATCAATCTGAGGTACAACATATATGTTATAATACAATTAGTTTACTATCTAATAATCCAATTTGCATAAACTTTTTTTTGTTTTATAGCCCCATTTATGCTTTATAAAATAAATAAAAAATTCATTGAAATTGGACTACTAGATGGTGAAATAATTGCAAAAAAGCTTATTAATAAATAAATTACTATATATTTTATATAGATTATAACTAGTTTTAACCGGAGGTGATATAACTCAGGTGATATCACCTATTAATTTTATTATAATTTAATAAATTTGATATGGGTGATTTAACTTAAGTGAAATCACCTATAATTTTATTAATAATTTCGATACGAATAAATTTAATTCAGGCAATATCACCTGATTACATTAATTTTACACGATGATATAATTATTTACATTTGATCATTCCCATTATTATTTATAAATGATGTAATCAAAGCCACCCGTTTTAAAAATTCTTTCCCAAACGCTACTTTTTCTGTTTTTGTTAAAAAACTTCGCTTGTTTCGCGTTTCTAAAAAATTATTTGCAAGATAAAATTAATATCACTCGTTGCTTCTAGTGTATTACTTACATAAACTTTAATGCAAAACTTTACAATGGAAGATATTACAACCTTTCCTTATGATTCTTTATATAACGATAATTCTGACTTGTTATTCAACGCTTATTATAATTTTTCATATAATGATTCTGACCAATCATTCAACTCTTATCATAACTCTTTATACGATTCTTTTAATCTGATGCTTAATTTTTCATATGATTTTTCAGACCTATTCCTTGAAAATAATGAAAAAGATAATAGAATCCAAATAGAAAAAGAATGTATGGTGAAAAATCATCAGAAAGAAAATAGTGAGTATTGTGATCAAATGAATCTGACCTTTTATTCGGATAATTCCTCTAATCTGATAGTTAATTCTCACGTGTTCTTCTAATTTATTTCTTAAAAATTATAAATAGATAGCAACATTCAAATAGTAAATAAAAGTATGATAGATATTATAGATTATCAAAGCGATCATCAGGAAGAAAATAGTAAGTAACTGAATGTTATGATCATTTGATTCTAACCTGTTATTTGTCTCTTATTGTATAATTCCCCTGATATGATATGATTCTAACATAACCTTTTGATCTATTCTTTAAAAATCATAAACAGATAATGAAATTCAAATGGAAGTGGAAGATGATTCAGAAGATTATTGCAGCAAAGAATATGATGATGATAGCGAATATGAAGAAGAAGAAGATGGATTATTAAAGTTAAATAAAGGAATGAAATTTGAAACATGGGAACTTGCCAAATCATACCTTGATGAATATGCGAAGCAAAATGGATTTTGCTTTCATAAAATAAGACGTGTATTAGATCCAAATGATAATACAATTGTTAGACGCTGAACATATGAATGCACACATGGCCAAACTCATGAAGCTCAAAAGGTTATTTTAGCAGAAAATAGAAGGGATAAATGATCAGATGTCCTTGACACATTAATCTCGCATTTCCCAAATTTTCAAATGGAGTTCGGATTAATAGTATAATTGGTAAACATAACCATGAGATGAACCCCCATATTTCTGAAATAGCACCAAGATTTCGAAAGCTAACTGACAAAATGCTTGAAAAAGTAAAATTTTGGACAATTCAAGAAAAAATGGACATATCAACGCAATATAACCTTTTAGTAGCCTTGTTTCCAGATAAAGTAATTAATAAAAAAGACTTAAGTAATGCTATTCAACAATTTAAAAAACAAGTAAAACCTAGTAAAAATGATGAATGTCAAATGCTTACCGAATTATATCTTAAAAAAGATGATGATCCAAGATGGATTATAAAACCGCGCTTTGATGTTGGAGAAAGAAGATTAAATTCGCTGTTTTGGATGTCTACAGACCAAGTTAATGCTTACGGAAAATATCATGATATTGTAATTATTGATACAACATCAAGGACTAATCAATTTGATATGATATTGATGTTAGTTATAGTTGTTGACAATAATTTTAGAAATTTAATAGTAGCAGAGGCTATTTTGGAAGATGAAACAGAAGCAACTTTTTCGTGGACTCTACAAGAATTAAAAAATTCTTGTGATATTAAACCAATTACCTTGTATTCTGATGCTGATCAAGCCTTAATATCAGCTGTGAAAAAGAACTATCCGGAAACACATCATTTTCATTGTATCTTTCATATAGAACTGAATTTAAGAAAGAAACTTAAGGGAAAATTGCAAGACCAATTTAAACCCTTTCATGCTAAATTTTTAGCAATGCGTAATTCTTTATGTCCTAAAAAGTTTGAAACAGGATGGGAAGAACTTATTAATGAATTTTCAGCTTGCGAACAATATCTTACAAGAGTTTTATATCCTTGTAAAAAAAGTTGGGCGCATTTCGCTATTAACTGAAATTTTACTGCTGGAATTCAGAGCACACAATGAGTAGAAGTAACTAATAGAATTATTAAAGAAAAATTAAATAGGCCTTCATGTTTAACAGATGTTGTTGGAGAAATTCAAAAGATATTTGACCAACAATCAAAAAGAGCAATATTAAGTGAATGTAAAAATGAAATTCCAACAAGAGGAATACCTTTTATAATGGATGAATACTTTCCAAATCTTGATAAAATTTTACGTGAATACTTAACACCTCAAATTCTTCAAAAGCAACGCGATCAAATGGCTCAGTCATTATGCTATGATACTGTATTAATTAAAGATCAGCAACTGCTTTTAGAAGTAAGTTTAATAGTTAATAAGAAATGAAAGTTAAAGATAGTTATTAACAATTAAAATATTTTCTTTTTTTCTTTAGATGATGGATGATTCTTATCAACAAGAAATAGCTAGAGAGGATGACTATGACCAACCTCAATCTTTATTTTCTTTATTAGTAGAGAATATTTTATAATAATATTCTACAAGTGTGGAAAGTAACAAGACATTGTGGACAAAATTCAGAACCACAATATATTATTCTTCTTAATGATGGTTCACATTTATGTACTTGTCTTTAGCTTATTAACAGAGGAATTATATGTAGACACTTTTTCCGTGTTATGTCTTATTCAACTAATGCGCAATTTCATATATCACTTATTTCATACCGTTGGTATAACAATAATAAGTATAATATTGAACAGCGTGAGAAAAATATAGTATTATTTCATAATGAAGAAAATATTCTAGCTGATGAGTCAGAACAACCCTCATTTCAACATCTTATGAATTTTAGGTAAACACCTAATGTTGTACAATTGCAGGGTCCTAAACAAAAATATGGATTTGGCATGGGATATGCTAAAAAAGCTCTTGATTTGGCTGTTCAAACTGATAAGGTTGATGAATTTGTTGATCAAGTGAAATATTTTATTGAGAATACAAAAGCAGAATTATCCGAACAACAGGAAAATTTGACTTCTATGCATATTGGTGATCCATTAAGAGTACAACATAAAGATAGACAACCTAATAAATACAAGTCATGTGGTGAAACCCAAAGAAAAAAATCAAAGTATATTCGAGACATAACTAACATTACCAATAAAAATTGTAAAAAAGTTGTAGAAAGTCAAGTAGATAAAAAAAGAGAAAGACATTGTAAAAAATGCAATCAACCAGGTCATTATACTCCACGATATCCAAATGCTTAATAAATTGGTAACTAAATTATGTTAGTTTTTTTTATAGCATGTACAAGCTATTTTATTAGGAAATAAACGAAATAAACTATATAATAATTGTCATATAATATAAAAAATTATGTAATAAGATTTGCCATTAAATTTATTAAAATTTTTTATACGTGTGAAATCACCTGATTTTAGCAAATTATTTATAAGTGAAATCACCTGGGTGATATTCACCTGGAGAGCAAATTAGCAAGATTCTTTTATATATATTATAATACAATTATTTTACTATCCAATAATCCAATTGGCATAAACTTTTTTTTTGTTTTGTAAACCTTTTTATGCTTTACAAAACAAAAAAAAAATTCATTAAAATTGAACTGCTAGATAGTAAGTTAATTTGACAAAAAAACTTCTTAATAAATAAATTACTATATATTACATATATATTAGAATACAATTATATTACTATCCAATAATTCAATTTGCATAAACTTTTTTTTATTTTGTAGCCTTTATACTTTATAAAACAAAAAAAAAATCATTAAAATTGGACTTTTAGATGGTAAGATAATTGCAAAAAAACTTCTTAATAAACAAATTATATATTATTTACTATAAAAGATATACTATTACCATAAAAGGTATATTGTGACACCTGATTGCAGGACCTGACCCCTCACCACCCACTAAATCACATAATTTCTGGCACGCCCCTTATAATGCTATTAATTTTAGCAAAAATGCTTGGAATTCTGTAAGTCAGTAGACAATTTTTAATTGTTGAAAACATATGGGAATTCTTCTACAGGATGAGATGGATGGTGAAATTGAAAAAGATGATTAAATATTTCATGATGAAATTCATAATGAAATGGAGATACAAGAGTTGATTTACCAACTTCCATTTGATGATCACATGGATGTAACAGAATTTCTTCATATAGATGACAACTTGAAAGGTGATGAAAGTTTAACTGATGAAGAAATCATATCTATAGTAAAATCTAAGCCTACCAAAGTAGCTGAACCAGAAACTGAAGAATCCTTTGAAGTGATTTTTACTAAAGAAGCCCTGGATCACTTGGATAATCTTGTTTTATTTTTTGAATACTTATCAGATACTTCTATTAACCCAGAATTATTAAATGTCTTAAAGAAATTAAGATGTTAAATATTGACATTATACATTAATAACACAAAGCAAATAATATTAGATAGTTTTATTCAATAATATGTACTATTAAATAGTTTTAATTAGTTATGCTAATATTCTAATACAGTATACTGTAATAATGATAATAAATTTCAATTATTATTGCTATAAACTATTAAATTTTATTTTTCATTATACAAACGATCACAAAAAATTTTTTATATACCAATATTGATCAACATAATATAATAATATCGGTATACAAAATTTTCATAATGAACCGATAATCTGATATACTGATATTTTTTCCCAAAACAACAGCATCGGTACATAGAGTTCTGACTGTATAAACTTTGTAAATTAAAAAAAAAAACAGTACTAAAAAAACTTTCTAACTAGAAGTATAAATCTGGCAATAAAAAAAATAAAGCAAAAAAGAACTTTAAAAACTTCAAATAAAATCTATATAAGAGAATAATAAAATTAAAGGAAATTTTAAAAAAATTAATAGATAGCTATAAAATAAACTAAAAAATAGAAACAAAATAGTTTTATTTTAATCTAATAACAAGTTAACTCTTATTTGTTTTTTACAGATTAGAAATTTTTATTTCTTTCAAAAATTAGCTAAATTTCTATTTACAATAAACTTTTAGTTTAGAATACTGCTAAATGCTAATTTTACTTATTTTTTTTTTTCTTTTATTTTTATAATTTAAAATAGAGGTTAATTGAATTGGCTTTATTTTTAAAATATAAAGTTTTATTTTAGTTTAATTAGTAATACTTTATATTTTCATCTTTATTTTTAATAAAATATAAATTAACTTTATAATGGAAAAAAAAGTAATTTTTGGCTTATTATATAAAATCATAGTTTCAGGTCAATAGGTCATTCAAGTTATATTAATATTACAACCTGAACTGATGCTGAATTGCAATTGTTAAACCTGACCTGAAAAATTCAGGTCAACCTGTCAGGTTATCTGAATTTGGTCAACCTACTTGGAACTCTAAGCCAGATTCTAATTTGCCAATTACATATAATTTCAGATACTAATTTTTGGTAATCTTATATCAATTATTTATTTGATGCACGATTTGTTTTGATCAATTTTAAAATCAGTTTTTTTCTCTTCATTTTAATGAACTATTTTTTTATTAATTATGTCAAGCCAATAAAACAAAATCTGTAAAGGGTGTCATGTTCTTCGAAATTATGAAAAGTTTCTGAATAAAAAAGATGTTGCTTTAAAAAAGTGTTTATGTTGCCAAAATAATATAAAGTCTACTCGTTCAATAAAAAATAAGCTACAATATGACGTAATTAATTATTTGGATATCACTGAAACTATATACAATTCTTTAACTTTTTTAAAAAATGTTAATGAATTTTATGAAAGAGAAAATGAAGAGTTAAATCTAACTTTTAATCATCTTTTCATGATGCTATTTTAGAAAACAATGAATCTGATAAAAAAAACATTGAACATGAAATTGGTTATTATATAATAAATTCTATTTCAGAAGGTGATGAGTGATGACTATTCATGAGTTTATTATAAGAAAATTTAAAAAGAAAATTCTTTTCATATAATATACTACTGTAATTGCCGAATTGAACTTGGAAAACGAAGAGCAAAACATCCTGATTTAGATAAATAAAGAGATACCACTGGTCAAAAAGAGATTTATTGGGTACCTGATATGTATATGATTCATATTTTATAATACTCCACATATTGGGTACATATCAGATAGTTTTTCAACTCGATAATATATCATATACCTGATTTTTTTTCATAAACATACACTTCTGAAAATATAAATTTCAGACTCCCGATATCCCTTCTAATAGTCACTAATATACCTGTCGGATCCTGATAGATATCAATGATTTATCTTATATATATCAAATACCTGATGTATGCAATATTTATTTTTTCTTATATATTATACATATCATCGAATAGACTGCTTTTTGCATTAATATAATTAATTAATTGTAAATAAATATTTGATTTTTTTAATAAATTTTATTAATTTGGTTTTTTTAAAAAAATGGATTAATTTTAATCAAATATTTTAATTAAGAAATTATTAAGTATTCAAAAAAAATATAGCAGAATTTGATTCTGCCGACAGCCTGATACCACATAAATTTCAATTTTTTTTAGTTTAGTGTCCAACCCTATACACTAAAAATTTAACTTTTACCTAATAAAACTTACAAATCTTTCTTTAACTGAACTTCATCAATATTCGAACTCTTATTAGATTTCTGCTTCTCAAAAGTTTGAAATACAAGTCATGTTTTTTCTTTTAAAGTTCAAACATATGTTTCTCAATTGTATTTTCAATAAAAATTCTAAAGACAGAAACTGGTTGAGTTTGACCAATTCTATAAATTCGATCTATAGCTTGATCCTCAATACTTGAATTCCACCAAGGATCCATAAAAAAATATTGATTAGCTGCAGTAAGATTCAATCACAAAGACTAATATTTCAAACTAATTAAAAGAACCTTTATTTTTGGATTATTTTTAAAATTATTTACTGCCTCCTCTCGCTGATTACATAAAAAATCGAACAAATTTGACATTTGCGTCTTTAAAAGCAATTTCAATCAAATCAAGAAAAGATGTCCATTGGCTGAAGACTACTGATTTATCATCATCATTATTTTGATTTAAAAATTCCACTAAAGCTTCAATTTTGGAACTTATCTTAAAATCATTTAAATTTCCAATTTCTTCTTTGTTATCAATTCCATTTATATGATTTATTGTTTCTTACAAAGAAGTTGTGTGTGATTACAAATTTGTCTTAGTCTAAGAAGCATTTCAAGAAATATTACATAATTATTTTTTAAATCATCATTTTTTGATTCTTTTCAACTTCTAAATTGTTCTTTTGTATCACTTTCCATTTTATCATAAATCTTTTTCTCATCTGTCTTAAACTTAATTTTATGAGTATAGAAATTAATGGGAGGAAGACATACTATAGGATGTCCATTGAATTTCATGTCCTTTATCCTACAAAGACAAATGGTTTTCATTAAGTTTTTTAAGTCGTTAAGACGACTGTTATTATTGTTTTTAAATTTCATTGTTTTGTTGTTAAATATAGTATTCCACATTTCAAAATTATCAAAAGGAGTGAATCTTAAAAATTTAATTAAAGAATACATATCATTTAACTTGTTCATAATTGGGGTTCCTGTGAGAATTTATCTTCTTTCAGCATCCAAATTACATGCAGCAATACTTTGTTTTGATGATTTTGTACACATAATATGTCCTTCATCTAAGATAACTTGAAGCTATTTAATAGCGAGTAATCCACTCCTTTTTTTTTATATCTGATTGTGCAAGAATAGCATATGTAGTAATTATTATATCGTGATCTTTAAGGAATTCTGGATCATTATTTTGATTAATACCATAAAAAACATAATAAGAAAGAGACTTTTTCTTAACATGTATATTATTTTTTTGTAAATTTATATATAATAAAATTGAAATAATATATTATTTAAATTAGCATTTTAGTTAATTTTAAAATAAAATTTTATAATTAAAATTTATTAAAAATTATTAAAACTATTCAAAAAAAATCTTTTTTTCTTATAAAATTGCATATAAAAATACAAATTTTTTAAGCTATTAATAATTATCACTAGTCATATAAAATAAAATAATATATTTTATAAAATTTGATATTTTTAAATTTTAATAAATTAATTAGTAAAGATTAAAAAAAAACTAATTTTTATTTTAGATTATATTTGATTTAAATTTATTAAATAAAAAGATATTGGATATTTAAATAAATCTGAATAAAATTTGTTCAATTCTAATAAATACAAACAATTATATAACAAACAATTTCTTATCATTGATAAAATATAGTATTTTTGTACCTAATAGGTAATTCATATATATATGTTTTTTTATAATAATTTTCACAAATTAATTATATCTATAATCACTTAAAATAATACTTGAAAACCGTTACAATTCAAAAAGAAATAATATATAAATAAATAAAATTTCCAAATTCATTTTTTAAAGGATATATAGGATATATAAGGGACAAAAAAAAAAAAATAAACAAAACTGATTATTATTGATCAATTTCATATTCAAGTAGAAAATAAAATAATGAAAAAAAATGAGATTATACAAAATACTAAATATGTAAAAAATTTATTTTGTAGATAATCAAAATATATAAAATTTGAATTATGTATATAATTGAAAATAAAAGGGTTGTATAGAAAGTATTTAAGGTATTTTGTATAAAAGCCTGGTAAGCAACCAGTAAAATTTTATAATGAAGTCAAAATAAAATTGTTCCAGCGTATCTCAAGTGTTTGATAAATGAAAGAAATAAATTAAGAATGCTTTTTGCACTCTTACCATATTATTTACTTTCCAGCCATACTGGATGTAGCAGTAGTGGGGGGCATTCTCAATTTATTTAATTCTTTTTCTACCATTTTCCTATCTTGTTTGTTAATTGCAGGGGTGGTAATTGGTTCATTTGATGATGTTGCAGAAGGCCCTGTAGTAGTTGTCTTTTTCGAAAGTAGATTTTGGAAAAAGTTAGCGAGAACCTCGTTTTGATTATTATTTTGACTTGGATTCGGATTCGGATTAGGTGCAGATCCATTTGAAGGGGGAGCTGTTGTTCCATTTGTAATAGTAGTATTCGGTGGCTGTAAGGGATTTTTGACCTGAGGGTTTGGCTGAAATTTGAATTATTGATTAATTGAATTCCACAATAAATATTAATTTGCCAAATAATATAGAATAAAATATTTACACTAGTTCTTGGAGGAGCTTTAGGTAGAGAATTATCAAGATCAGGGATATCTGCTCCAATGTCACCATATGAATAACTGGGAGCTGCCATTGGTCCAACAACTGAAGGTGGGGGTGGACGTTCACTATTAGCTCTTTGTAAGGTATCGAAATGTCTTTGGAAGAACTCCTGTTCATCTTCTGCTTCAATAGTAGTTTGAACCGATAATGGCTATAAAGCAGAATAAAATTTTAAAAAAATTTTCACATAATATCACTTAATATAATCCCATCAGAACACATACTTTATCAAGATCCTCATGGGCAATAATTTCTTCTTCGTATACTTTTCTAGCGCTGATTTTTTCACCAGTATCTTCTTCTGATGAAGATTTCTCACCCATGTCCAAGTTCCAACCTTGAAGTAATTCATTACAATCGAATCCTTCTTTTAAAAATTTAATTACTCTCCAAGAATCCGAACCAGCGGGAACCAATACTCTGTCACGCTCAACATAGTTTGCTTTAATATTAAAGGCAAATGCAGACTTGGTATCACTGGACGTGGGCCTAAAACCAAGTAGTCGATGAAGGATATATTGTCTCAGATTGGTAAATGTCTCGGGAAGTCTTGTAGTTGTGTAGAAAAGTGCAGCACCATCTAACAAATTCAAAATCTTAATTAGTATATAGGATAAAAAATTTATATTCCAGTAAATGATTAACACCTACATTTAAGGCAAATTGTCCTTAAGCATTGCTGTATGTAATCGAATCGCTCTTCTTTGTAGTCTAATTCACGCTCAAGATAAGAACTTACCTTATCGGACTACAAAAAAAAGTGTATCAATTTATTTTAGTTTTTATTTTTTTATTTATTTTTATTTTTTTTTTTTTGGCATAAAATATTGATACCTTAGTGCAAACTACCACTAATGGTACAGACAAGTTAGTAGTTAAAACTCCAGGGCCCAATGGCAATGCAACATCTTCACTTTCACTATTAACTGTTGCTGCATTTGGATTTGTAGAATCTGGTTCGGAATAAGTTTGAATAAAACGTTCGACTATGAAATTCGAACATGAAATAAAACTAAATTAATAGCCAACAAAAAGGGAGAAAGTAAAGAATAAACGGAGAATAGAAGATAACATGTGCATTGAATTTTTTTTTTTTTAAAAAAAAAATATCTCTGCTTACTGGACTCTTTTAATTCCTCAACAACAACTTTTCCCTTAGACCAACCGTCCTTGGTTCCACTGCTACCTTCTGTTTTTATGTTCTCAATCCCTACTTCTAAAAATTTGATCCATCGTTGTAATGTTTCAATAAAAGTCCAGGGACGTGCCCAATCTAAAACAATCACAACGAGGGAGTCTGGAAGAGTGGAAGAATTAAGTGCAAAACGAAGTAGAGATTGATAAGATTCATGAGAACCAGCAAGTTGGTATATTCCAAGACGAGTGAGCGTATCTGATTGTTATAAAATTAATATTAGTATTAAAAAAAAGTAAATCAAGAATCATTGCAATATTTTCTCTTTCGCCTTAAATAATTATCATCCTAATAACTTTAACTAAGCATCTTTAACATTAAAAAATAAAATGACTACTACCTTCTGCTTCGTCATCCTTTACTTCCACAAAAGTATAACTTAAAGCTAGTTCATTATTCGAATGTTTGTCAATGGGAGAACTGTCGTCGGTTCCAGTACCCACACTTTTTGACATAGTACCGTTAGCATTAGGAACCTCAAAAGTCTCTTCATCCTCGACACCTTTAAGGTGTCGGATGAGGGCAGTTTTTCCTGATTCTCTATCGCCTTGAATTTGAGTAGAATAAACACGTGACCTTTGTTAGCTACACTCCTACAGTAAAAATGAAGCTACTAGCCAGTCATTTAACCACTTTTTCTATGGATTATTAGATAAATAAACAAACCTAAAATCAATAAATTCTTTGTGGGAACGATTTTTGAGGAAGCAACCCCCTTAAGAATAGAAGACCAAATTTCTTCTGTTTCGTTTGCTGACAAAGAAGTATCTTTAGTTAAGGATTCTTTGTCGTCGACCAGCGAAATTTCTCCTGATTTAGGTGCCATTATTCTATATTTGTCGTTAATCTTTAAAGTACAAAAGAACTAGTAACGTAATATTGGGTATTAAAAGAAAAAAAAAAGTTTTCTTTTCTTAGTGACGTTGCTCGCACGGCACCAAGAATCAAAATATCATAAGTGATTTGCACCACATAATAGCCTAATAAGGGAAAATGGTAACACGTACAATTTTAGAGACCGCAGTTTAGATTGTGGCGGGGAAATATGAAGAGGTAGGCAACTATTTAATTCGGTTATAATAGAAGAGAGATACGAAGATATTAATGCACTTCTTGCAAAAGCTTATGATAATCGTGCAATTTTATGCTTGTCGGATTTACTTCCCGCAACAAACAAAGAAAACAAGTCCCTTCCTCCCCTTCATGATTATGATATCATAAGAATGTGATATCCAGATCAAACCAAAATCAGAATGTTCAACCTATCTTTATCATCTTTTATCTGATACAGAATTTCATTTCAGGTATGATGCGTTTCATGTTGACTTACGAAAATTGCGCTTAGCTTCGATCCTGATTTGGAATTTGTGAATCGTGATCTAGGTGAGGCTCTTTATATGGCTTTGAATGAAATCAATTTCATGATTGTGATGATAAAAAATTGAAACAACTAGACGATACGCCAATATTATATCACGTGATACTTCCAGAAATCTTGAGTGTAACATTGGGTATCCGTCTAACTAGATTTATAGTTTTTCCCATTTTTTCTTGTGCGGGTTAGTTACTGCGGCACGTTATCTTTTGCTGCAAAACTTTCTTTTTTTTCTCATGAAGAGATTAAATGGGATATTTTGAACTTTATTTTTGTTAACTCAAAATATTTTTTTTATAGTTCTCAAATAATTCATATTATGGAGGTAATGCATTCATCTAACCAATTTGAATACGACTTTTCTCCTTATTAGTAACTGATTGGCTTTTGTGGGAATTTCGCCTTTTTTTTCTTTATTAAATTTATTATACAATAATTTTTATAAATATAAAATTCTTAACTATCGTACAACCAACCAACTTTTACTGATTACTTTTACTGTTTCCTATATTATTTTTATTCTTTTCGTCATTCTTTTCGTTATTATTTTTATTATTTTCGTCATTTTTTTCGTTATTATTTTTATTATTTTCTTCATTCTTTTCGTTATTATTTTCATTGTTTTCATTGTCTTCATTGTCTTCATTGCCATGAAATGCTCTAATAACTTTTACTAGAAGTAACACTTTTTGTAATTTTAAAAAATTTCCTCGAACTTGTCTCGATTTTTCTCTCTCTCTATTTCTTGTAGTTAATCTTGCTCTACGCCTTGGAGTAGGCCATAGTTTTGCTGTTAATTCAAATGACCAGTATTTAAATACTATTACTTTAATTATATCGAGAATAACAAATATACCTAAGGATATCTGTGATATAAATTAGATTAGTTACGTGAATATTTAAATCGGAAATTTGTATTGTACTTACACAAAGAATCGTTACAGCTATCGACAAAGGAATTTTAGGAGATAACCATCCAAATACTGAAATTATTAGCGCAAAAATTTGTGTACCAAGAATTGCTGCGATAAACATTATCGATGGAATGTTTTCCCAAAAAAATCCTGATAATCTTGTCGAAAATATCATAAAATGTGGTGCACTTGATATATGTAAATACATTATAGTTTGTAATTCTCCTAAAAAAAGAAAAATAATTATTATTTACATTTACTAAAAACAAAAAAATTTTAAATAAGTGATTGTGAATACCATCAGTAACTCCGATGACATCTTTAAAAATAAAATAATGTGCAAAACTAAAACCAGATAAGCAAATTCCCAAGAGAAAACTTAAAGTAATTAATTGACCAATACGCCATTTGTCAGGAGTATTAGAAATCTATGAATAACGCCAACAAATTAACTCATCATTCGAAAAAAAACCATTAATATTATCTATTAAGCTAACCTTAGCATTATCAACTGATATGACGACTGTAGCTGCATCATTTAATATCGCAATCAATATCAACAATATAGCTGGTAATTTCCAATTTAAAATCAGGATAATAAAAAAGAAAAATAGTAAAAAGTGAATAGTAGACGTAATCCTATATAAAGCATAAGATCTCATTCGCTGAAATATCGCGCGTGAAGTAATAATGCCATCCACGATGGTTGATAATCCCGGAGCCAATAAAACAATATCAGAAGCTGAACGTGCGGCATCAGTACATCCTGCGACAGCAATCCCGACATTAGCCTTCTTAAGCGCGGGAGCATCGTTAACTCCATCGCCCTTATGACACAAAAAAATTTAATAATAATTAGTTATTTTAATATTGCGACGTAGAATGGATTGTCAATTGTAATTATACGAAAACATACAGTCATTCCAACTAGATATCCTTTCTTTTTTAAAAGTTCTACAACTCTAAATTTATGTTCGGGAGTAACTTGTGCGAAACCATCAGCACGTTCACAATGTGCTGTTATCTCGTCCAATGATTTTCCTGGGTCAATCAAATGATTTGCATCTAAAATGACTCTTCCCATACCCAGTCTCTGAGCCATTTCTTTGGCAATAATAACTTGATCCCCAGTGATCATTTTAATTTTAACGCCGAGATTTTTGCATTTATGAATGGTTTCCTGAGTGTCCGGTCTCGGCGGATCTAAAAAACAAACAAATCCAACCAATTCCCATTTATCAAGATCTTCATCAACAGTTTTAGCAACACCCAATGCTCGTAATCCTCTTTTAGCTAAATCAGTAACAGCATTTGTTGTATCTTCTCTACCGGTAAGTTTGACAATAACTTGAGGAGCACCCTTAGCAATTTGAAATGTTTCTTTAGTTTCCAAATTCATTACAGTAGATTTTGAATACTTTACCGAGGGATTAAAAGGCGTAAATGATTTAATTTTATAACCAGGAACATCATGTTCATCATCGTGATCCTTTAAAATATCAAGTCCTTGTTTTGCTGCGGCTACGACAGCCATTTCAATTGCATCACTAGTACTTTGTTCAGAACAAAGGTAAGCGTATAAAAGTATATCGGATTTTTTATATCCTGGAGACAACCAGGGTTCATCAAATTTAAGTTCATTTAATGTCATTGTTCCGGTCTTGTCAGAACAAAGCACGGATACAGAAGCTAATTCTTCAATAGCGGTTAACCGTTTGACAATCACTTTTTTAGAAGCCAATTGTTTTGCACCAACAGCCATTGTAACGGAAAGCACAGTTGGCAATCCAACCTTTAAACAAGCAAACGAAAGATTATTTGATACTTTTACTAAAAATGTTAAACATAAATAAAATACTTACAGGTATCGCGGCAACTGTTAATACCAAAACATCTTGCAAGATTACTAATACATCTCCTTGTTCAGTATTTCTAAATTTCACTACTTGATAAACGAATATTATGGTAACAAGTAAAACTGTGATCAATATCAAGAAGTTACCAATTTTGTTTATGATTTTTTGGAAATGTCCTTGATCAGCCGGCATATTCATTAATGTAGCGGTACGACCGATATATGTCTGGGCCCCAGCTATTTTAATCACACATGATCGGAAGATAAAATGTTAATATTAAATTGAAAGCATATTTTTGTAGCAAATATTGAATCAAACCATACTATTGTAAACAACCGCTAACATTTGACCTTGCTTAACCGTTGAACTAAAAATGGTTAGAAATTAAAAAGAAGTCGAAATATTTTGTAAAACTTTTCTAATTGGAATTACCTCGAAAAAACACAATCGCCTTTTTTACGATTTACAGGCAAACTTTCGCCAGTTAATGCAGATTGATCTATGTTCAAGTAAGTTTCTGTTTCTGAGCCAGACACTCCAATACCTAATAGTCTACAGTCTGCGGGTATAATGTCACCTATACGTAATGCAACAATATCTCCCGGCACCAAATCCGCTGCATTTAGTTCAACTAATTTTCCATCCCGCCTTGCCCTTGATTTTAATGCTAATGATTGTTTCAAAGAATCCAAAGCTGATTCCGCACGTGTTTCTTCGATAAATCCGATACTTGCATTAACAAATAACAGAGCAAGAATTATACCAAAATCAGTCCAATCTCTTACTATTGCTGCTACTATACAAGTTATTTCAATTAAATAAGCTATTGAACCTCGAAAGTATGATAAAAATTTTAAAAATCGATTCCTTTAATAATGAAAAATTTTGATGCATGGTTACTAGAGATATTGAAAATCGACCAATTTTACATAATGATACTTACTGTTTATATTCCGAGATTTCATTTTTACCAAATCTTTCTAAACGAGTTTGAGCTTCGTCCGTTGATAAACCTGATTTTGAATCTGTATGCAATAGTTCTTCTATTTCTGAAGGTATTTCATCCGTTACTTGTATATCATGTTCATCTCTGTTCTCGTCATTCTATTGCGTCAAGTTGTAAAGTAAAGTAAACTCGATAAATATAGTTGGTTTATATATAAGTTTATATTACCTCATGTTTATCTTCCTTATGTTTGTTTTTTGGCATAGGAGTTGGTTCATGTTCTATTTGCGATGGCTCCCCCTTTTCTTGAGATTCTGAAAATTCTGTATGTTTCGGACCATCATCTCCATTTTTTCCATTTTTTGATTTGCTGCTACCATCCATCTTTATTTTTTTTTACTTTTCAAAGAAACTTCTTTATAGAAATCGAATCGGTTTTTATAAATTTAAGATCATTATAATTGTGATGAATTTTTACATCATAATTTATTTTGAATTAGAACCTTTAAAATATTCCCTGAATTGTCTACATCATTGTACTGTAATCATGATGTAAGACTTGAGGCAAAATTAAAAAAATTTCGGCTTTAAATTTGGCCGAATTCAAAAGATCTACATTACAATTCAATTTAAGCATGATAACTATACATAAAATTTCGAGATTGATACTAATAAAATTGAGTCCGATTATTACAAATTTTTGATAATGAAAATAGGATTAATTTTCAATAATAAATTAATCATGACGAGAAATTTGTTCCCTACCAAGTAAATTAAGCTTTTACTATTCAGCAAAGTTTTTATTATTAGTTATAAGCTATATCGGCGTTTTAATTTTACGCCATAGCACAGGATAATTGACGGAACCACCATTGCCAAGAAAAAATTTAAAGTGGCGCAGTAAACTAATATCAGTAATATGACGATTGCAGGTGATTTTGCTTTTTTTTTTTTATTAATTAACTGTTAATATAACTCTAATTTATTCAATTAATATAATCGAGATATTGCGGATAATGTTTGTGATCCTAAACTTTATTTGAGAAAATCACAATTGACGCCTGAGACACAAACGTTTCCTCTTCGAGAAAGATTTTCCATTTTGTTTCATATCGTAAGCTCACCCCATTGGTTTGTAAATTTCCGGTTGCGATCTAGTATTTCTCCGGATATGGCAAATAAAGTATTAATATATCCTATTTAATCCTTATTAAACTTAGTATAAATTTCTCCATCCCTAATTTTTCGCTTAAAATTCTTCCTTACCATTTAGCAAAATTACAACATAAACGGTATTGGAAGAAAATGAATTTAGGATATCAAGGTTCATTGGATGAACCATTTCAGCCTCAACCGGTAGAAGTATCCGAAAAAAAGTTAGGAAAAAGGAGCTTTTTTAATAGAAGGCTTTCAGATCAGCCTAGGTTAATCAAGGATATTATTCCAAAACAAGTAGACCGTCCTACTGATAATTACGGCAATATCCCATGGGCTGAACCCGTAGAGACTAATTATTATAGTACCCGGAATGAACCTGTAGACTATCCTTCTAGCTATTACAGGACCCGAAATGAATCTGTAGACCATCCTGCTAACTATTATAGGACCCAGAATGAATTTACAAAGAGCGATTGGCAATCTACAACAGTACATAATCATCCCTATACTAGATACCAAAAGTCTCAAGAAATAAAACCATGGGATGAAGGAAAAACAAGTGATGAAATCCTCCCAAAGTCCGAAAATTTTTCATTAGAGTTGTGTATTGAATGCCAAAAGCCACTTAGTGGAATGAAATGGTGCCGTTCTTGTAATGCTGAACATTTTCATCAACAAACTTCAAAATGGACAAGCTGGCGACTCGGTTTAGACAATGTAATTATTGAGACACAAATTGCTGCAAATAATGCTCATAGTTTGTATGAATGGATCCCTTTCGAAGATTTTGATCATATTACATATTTAGCAAAAGGTGGATTTGGTACTGTATATAAAGCTACATGGAAACGAGGTCCAATTATTCATTGGGACCCCAATATTAAAAATTGGACACGGTTCAGAAACCATGAAGTAATATTAAAGATAATAAACGGATCTCAAACAAATTTGGATGAATTTATTAATCAGGTAAATATTGAATTTGTAAATTTTCCTTTTTATATTTCCTGCTCTTGATTGAATTTTTAAAACTTTGGAACATAGCTTACAGCTCACCATAAGTTCAGTACAATAGTCGGGCATCTACTTCGTTGCTTTGGAATTTCACGTTGGGAGGATACGGGAGATTTCATTATTGTAACATCATGCGCTAAAGATGGAAACTTACGCCAATACATGCGTAAAAATTCTAAAAGGTTCACGTGGATTGAACGTTTGGTTACACTTAAAGACATTGCTAAATGTCTTGAAATTATTCACAATACTGGATATGTTCATTGTGATTTACATACGGGTAATATCTTAAGACATGGAAGTTGGACAATAATAAGTGATCTTGGGCTTACGTGGCGTCAAGATTCTGCATCAATGGGAGAAATACTTGGAGTATTGCCATTCATGCCCCCCGAAATTCTGTATGATGGCCAATATTTTTCAGCATCTGATATTTATAGTTTTGCAATGATCATGTACGAAATTGCAAGTGGCGAAATCCCATTCAATAATAGTATTCAGGACATTGATCCTGTTTTTATTATTTACGGATCTCGGCCTGGCCCTCCTCCCGCCACTCCCCCTTGCTACATTGAACTAATGAAATTATGTTGGGATTCTAATCCAAAAAAGAGACCAACTGCTGGTCAACTTGTTAGAATACTTGACGATTGGATTCACAGTAAAAGGAAACAACTAGATATAATCTATAATTCCTTTCAAAATGCTGAGCTTGAGTTAAATTATATAAATTATTCAAAGGAACCTGTCGACGAAAAAGATTACACTCATATTGATGAAACATATACTAGCAAATTAATCTCTATTAAAGGTAGATATCGATCTTTTTAATTTGAATTAAATATGCACAATAATAAATACCTGTTTATTTACTTGTCCACATTTATAGATATTGTGAATCGCATCAATCAAGAGAAGTTACAGCAGAAAAAGTAGCTCAAGTCCAATTGTAATATACTAATTCGTTTTGAGTGACTTCCAAAGCTTTTTATTTCGGTCAACTTCCGAACCTCATTAGTGCTTTGCTTTTTTTTTTAAAAAAAAAAAAATAATTCAAAATGAAATGACCACGTGATTATTTGTTGATCAAATAATCCCGCTTCGTATTTGTACAGGAGGATAATTTAAGTAATTTAAAACTTTCCTTGTAATAAATTTGGCGTTCTAACCTTCATTTTTAATAGTCGTAAATAATATAAAGGTCGTCATCGTTGTTGGCACAATAATTCTGAAGGGCGAATTAGTGACCAAACACTTGGCTAATATCAAATAATCCAGTAGCGCGGTCAAACCTGTGTTATTACTAATCGATAATTTTACTTTTTACTTCAAACCATCAGTCATTTTATAGCAATTATATAAAAATTGCTTTTGTTTACATACACTTATTTCTATGTTGATTAGAGAATCTGTGAACCATTTATGATTTGATTGATAATGAATGTTATTCGTGATATGTTGAGTGGAACAGCTTATTTTAAAATCGAGAAGATACAAAACAAGTTAGTGCGAAAATATCATGCAAGAAATATTGATGATGTTATGACATTCATATGAGAACAGGTTCACATTTTTACAGCACATATTTTTTTTAAGCAATGTCAGAAAAATATTAAGTTATAAAGAAGATTTTTTAAAAAATGGCAATCCAGTTTCTTAAATCTTTCAACTCCAAAATCTATTGTTTTAATTTTTTTGCTAATTAATTAATTAAAAAAAGTAACCAATATGAATTAAAAAAACTAGATATATAGCTGATTTTAGAATTAAAATCAAGCTTATTACATTCATATATAAAATACTATTTTAAATCTAATTAATAATTATATTAGCAATGTTATTCAGTAAATACCATAATTTTTGGCTAATTATTACTATTACAGATGGTGGCCAAAATTATCCATAGTTTTCATACTTCATATTTACCAAAATTTTTTGAAAATATCGAACCACTTACTTTAAATTTTTGTAACAAAACTTTAAAAAACCTCAGGTAATTTAAAGATGTTACAGCTTAGTCAATATTGATCCTACATTAATAAATACTTTAATATTTGAAATCTACTTAGTTAAGAATATAGAATGATATTATTAAAATTACTTATTTTATACCCCGTCGCACTAAGTGTGACTTATGACATAGAACATTGTAATTTCCCTAATTAAAAGTATAAGCTTTTTTTTCCCATAAAATTTTTATACGGTTTTTTTCATAGCAATAAACTTTTTTATACTCCTCAAATTATTTTTTCATTATTACAAATATATAAAATTACATTACTACACTATTTATTTAACTATTCAAATGGTTTAACAATAACTTCTACTTTTACATTATTACAATTTTGAATATTAATATTTTCAATATTAATTAATGGTAATTTTGATGAATCTTGAGTTATTTTATGGACTTGTTCTAAAGATTGTATTTCAAGTTGATCATATCGTAATAATTGAGAAGCAGGAATAAAACCTAAAAAGAATATATAATTTTTCAGATTAAAAGTAAAAAAATAAATATGGAAAATTATGGTACCTTGATTTCCAGATGTATTTTCTCTTAAAGGATTTTGTTTTTTGTTAGAAAAATTTTTAGTTAAACATTCATCATTAAGATCATCCGCATTTCTTTTTTGGGGAATAAGAAGTGAAACATTTTTTTTTCTTTGTTGAGCAGTTGAAGTTGAATATGCAGAAATCCCAGCAAGTGTTCTATGTCCTGTAATATCCATCTGTTCTGCATGAGATATACCAAGTAACATCCATAAAGAAATTCCAGTTGAACGCATTGAATGATTGACAAGATTACGTCCATTTGCATTAATTTTACAATCTGCCACAATATTTTTAAGCATATTATCATGAGAATTTTTGCCAAGTTTTAAATCAGAAAACCAATTACCATGATATATTTCTCGTGGTGTATTTATTATTAAAAAAAACTCAGAAGTTTTGCAGTTTTTTGGTCTTTTAGATTGATATAATAGAATATCTGCCACTGGTGAATAATTATTTGGTAAATCTGGAGGAATATAATTATGCAGACCAGAATTGTAAGGATTTTTGGCACCTCCTGCATTATTTTTCTCACGAGGTATATTTACTTCAATACTGTGATCTTCATTGAGAACAATCCAGGAATTTTTTAGTCTTTTTGGATCACCAACACGCAGATTGCAAAGAAGTGTTAACCAAAACCAAACACGGTATGTAAGACCCTTTGGTGTATAAGTTTGTATATTTGGTGAATCAAGGATAATTTTAATCTCAAACATTTCAAGTGCATCAGTTTTCTTACAGGATGTATCTTGATTGTCTTGAATTTGTTTAATTCGACCATCAAAAATTTCATGTAATCGTTTCCATTTGTATTTATCATGAATATTAATAATTCTATTTGGATAAAAAATATCTGACAATCCTCTAGCAATTGCAGCAAAGCCTACATGTAATGAAGAAGGTGCATATTCTTTTTTTCCTGATTTTCTAACACCACAAAAAAATTGACAAAGCTGTTCTTATAATGTAGTATCATCCAATAGTTCAAGAGAATTAGTAAAATTGGCTGCTTCTCTATAGGAATTAAAAAGATTCATCCAAGTTTTAGTACTATCATCTGTATTAGCAACGCGAGAATAAGCTTGAATAGCTTGTAAATCTTTATTTGTAGGAATAACAAATCGTTCATATGTTGTTAACTTGTTCGTTTTAGTAGAATTATTTGAGCTAGTTGATAAGGTTTCCTTGAAATATCAATTTTTTTTATTAGTTTATCTATTTATTTCAAAAAAAAAAAGAAAATAGAAATATGCTTTTTAATTACCATCTTTATCCTTTCAGTCTTCAGTTGTATGTAAAAGAAAATTATTTGTTTAAAGAACGTAGAAAAATATTTAAGGGAAAAAAATAAAATAATTTGTACGTGTGATAGTAAAAGTATAAAAAGTATAAAAAAAGTAAAAAAGTTTATAATCATACACGTGATAATACAGTGATCATAAGTTACACGCTCCTGGGTATAACTTAGTAATTTCATGTGGATGGAATACCATGGTTTTTTTCCCTTCGGGAAAAAAACCCTGATATTCCTAAACCCCCATAAAATTACTTATATTTATATATAGTATATTTGTAAAGCTTTCATAATCACCTGATAATATACAGTAGGTGTTAATACAAATGCACCAAAATTTACAAATAATTAAATCATATGTTTATTAATTAAAATATATATGTTGATTTTTAAAATTATAAATATTACTCCTTTTTATATTATACAATCTACTATTATATAATTTTTTTCTTCTAATTATGATGCATTTATTTTGATACTTTGTAAAAAATGTAAAAATAAAGTATAAAAAAATTTTTTTTTATATTTTATATCAAAATTATTTTTCTCATATATGCTTTATTTTAAAAAAAATATTTTTTTTTATTAATTTTTAAAGCATAGTTATCTACTGAACAGAGAGCTTAAGCTATTATATACAACAAGAGAAATTACCACTAAAATTAGATGTAAAAGTTATACAACCATTATAAGATTAAAAAAGAAGTACAAGAAGACAGGTAAAGTTTAAAACAAACCTAGTTCAGGCTGTCCATGTAGACTGAATAAATATGATGAACATAATATTGTAAGAAATATAATGACAAGAGAATGTTCTAATACAGTTCAAATTCAAAAATCTTTAAAAGTCAATTATAATGTTAAAATAAACTCAAGTACAGTATGCAAAATATTAAAAAGAAATAGTTTGGCAGCTTGAATAAAGCGTAAGAAGTTGGTACTACCTAAAAAATACTATGAAAAATATCTAAATTTTGCAAAAAAATATAAAAATTGGATAGTAAGTGATTGGAATAAAATAGTGTGATCTGATGAGTTAAAATTTCAAATATTTAGCTCAGATGATCGTTAATATTGCTAAAAACATCCAAAAGATCCACTTCAAAATACTTATATAAAGTCTACTATTAAATTTGGAGGAAGTAATATTTTTGTATGAAAGTACTTTACTTTTTTAGGTATAGGATATTTGATAAGAATAAAAGGTAATATGGACTGGACTGAATTATATTGTAAAATATTGTAAAAGGACCTTATGGGCTTTCTCACTACTATGATTTAGATACTAATAATATTATATTTCAACAAAATAACGATTCAAAACATATAGCAGTTCATATTAAGTAGTAGTTTGAAGATAATAAATAGAAGTTTTATTATAGCCACCTCAGTCTCCTGACTTTAATTCTATAAAACATCTTTAGAATGATATTGATCATCATCTCAGAGTTTTAAAAATTGAAATTAAAGGAAAAGATATATTATGAGAATAAGTTTCTAAAATATGGAATAAAATAAGTTTGAAGACATATTCTAAATTAATAAAAATAATGCCAAAATAAATTAATGATATAATTAAAGCAAAGGGAGGATATACTCAATGGTAAAAAATTTGAATATATTTTTAGTTAAAAAAAATTTAAATTTTTTTATTTTTTTAATAAATTCATAATATATAATAAGAAAACTTACATATATTACGTAATTATTAAAGAGGGGGAGAGGAATAACCAAAATCTTAAATTACACTTAATAAAATTATATAATTTATAAATATTATAATTTGATTGATTATTAAATCTAATAAGAGAGAGGAAGGGAGTAAGTTTATATTAAACTGAATATTACATAATATATGTAACTTTCTTAAAGTAATGTACCAATATTTTAACAAAAACTATGTGATTATAAAAAATCTGGTTTAATAATTATTATTAAAATTGATGTAATATGAAGATTATATAATATATTAAATATTTAATTGCAGATCTGCCTAAAATCGGCACTGCGTTACTAATAAAATTTGGGGTTAAATTTGCCGATTTTGTGCTAGAACACAAACTTCAAAAAAGGATATCTCATAAATGACATATTGACTATAAAAAAAAAATCATATAATATACTGAAAAAATATTTGAAAAAAATGAATTTGCAAAAAAAAGTTATACATTCATATGCAAAATAATGAGTTTACTATGCGTGTGTGTCAGATTTACACCTTAAAATATACAAAATTTCAATATTTCATTTTACTATATTGCATTATTTACATTAAAAACCTATAATTTTTAGCTTCTAAAGTTGTTTTTAAAAGCTTTTTTGAAATATTTTTATTATTAAAAACAAGTGAAAGTTGAAGAAACCCAGTTACAGAAATATAATTATAAAATTTTTTGGCAAATATGACTTGTCATAAAATGAAAGAAAATATTGTATTTATGATATTTCTGTTTGTAAAATGGTTGAAACTTATTTCACGCGCGAGATGCAAAAAATGCTTTTTTTATTATCGCTATTATCCCTGAATTTTATTAGTAACGCAGTGCCGATTTTAGGCGGATTGGTAATTAATAAATATAATATTAATATATAATAATTTATAAATTTTGATACATTTGTTTTAATGTCCATTGTACTTATAGATTTCTATAAATATATTAATTTTTTTTTAAAAAAATATTTTTTTTCAAATGGTTTATGAATCAATAATATTAAAATAATTTTAGAATATTTTGTTTTACTTACATTTATTTTTATTTTACTGTAATAAATTTATGAATATACTATAAAATAAAATAAAAATAAATAATATAAATAAAGTATTATTAAATTTTATCAGTGATAATATTATTATTAATGACTATTAGTACTTAATTTTAACTAAAATTACTTTTTTTTTCATTATAAAGTTAATTCATATTTTATTAAAAATAAAGATAAAAATATAAAGTATTACCAATTAAACTAAAATAAAACTTTATATTTTAAAAATCCTTTATTTTAAATTATAAAAATAAAGGAAAAAAAGAAATAAGTAAGGTTAGCAGTATTCTAAACTAAAATTTTATTGTAAATAGAAATCTAGTTAATCTAAGAAAAATTTCTGAAAGAAATAAAAATTTCTAATTTGTAAAAAACAAATAAAAGTTAACTTATTATTAGATTAAAATAAAATTATTTTGTTTCTAGTTCATTCTATAGCCTATCTGTTAATTACTTTAGAATCTCCTTTAATTTCATTATTTTCTTATATAGATTTTACTTGGAGTTTTTAGAGTTTTTCTTTACTTTATTTTTTTATTACCAGATTTATGCTTCTGGTTAAAAAGTTCTTTAATACTGTTTTTTTAATTTACAAAATTTATATGTTTATATATTCAAAAAAATTTTATTTATACTTGTGACTTTATTTGTTAAATTAAGAATTTTCTTTTAAAACCGTTAAATTTATCTTTAATTGTTAATTATTTTTAAATTTTTGATAAAACTGAAAAGAAAAGTGTAAAGGTTGATAGTATACATATAAAATATCCTAATATATAATAAATTTGTAAATTAATTATATTTTATATTATTTTTTAATATTTTGCTCTAATATATATAAATATACTATAAAATTAAAAAAAAAATATTTTTTAAATTTAATACCTTATTTTTTTATTATTATTTTTTATTTTACTTTTATTAAATAAAAGTATTTTATTTATATATAAAAGGATTAATTTTATATTCACCAGTGGTTAATTTAAAATTAATTTACCAGTGGTGAAATTCACTTCAATTTTTATAAATTTTTATTAAAATACCAAATTTTAGTAATTTAATGGTGAATTTCACCTTGATTTACATATATTACATACATGTGTTACATTAAATTTTTAAAATTTTATGGTAAAATTCACCTTTGGTGAATTTACCCTAATTTACATAATATATAAACAAACTTTTAGCCTTAGAACGCCATTTTTCTTTTTTTATTTTTATTTTCTTTAAACAATATAAACAATATGGAGGATTCTAATGATTATAATAAAGATATATATAAGACAAATGCATTTTTTTGCTATATTCTGAAACTTTAGACTTCTTATTGTCACTATTTAATGATAATTTTACTATAAATTTTTTACCAGTTGTTAACCCAGATTTTAATCATAATTTTACAAACATAGATAGTTTTTCTCTTGAAACACCTTCTAAACCATCTATTAACCCTTCTTTAGAGTTACTTTCTGAGCCTTCTTTAGAGTTATCTCCTAAACCTTCTTCTGAACCTTCTTCTGAATCTTTTTGTAAAACTCCTTTTGAACTACCTTTTGAAGAACATTTTGAATCATTATCTGAACAGGTTTATTAGTATAATCTTACTGTAGGAGATTATTTTGATGATTGGCAATCAGTTAATACATTTATGCATCAATATTGTTTAGAAAGAGGGTTTGGATATCAAGTTTATCAAAATAATAAAGATCCAAATGATTTTACTATTATACGACATAAATCATTTCGTTATTCTTCAAATGGAAAATATGAATTCAGAAAAGTAATAGATCAGAAATTGCATCGTTTACGTAGTACTATAAAGACAAATTGTGAGTAGCACTGCAACTTCTCATTTCCAAAAATAGCAAATCAAGTAAAATGTAGCATCATTAAAAAATATACATAATTATGAAGTAAACCCTACTCAATTACCTTATATTTAAGGTTGCTTGCCGAAACCTAGGGGTTTAGGCAAGATGGCGTTTTGCCGAAAAGCGAAATTCTGCCGAAACTATATTAAAGTTATATTAAAAAACTGGCGAAACTTTGGAGAAAGGCGAAACTGCCGAAACTTATTATAAATGCCGAAACTGCCAAAACTCTGCCGAAACTATAATAAATCTATAGTAAAATTTTGACGAAACTAATCGTAGGATTTTGAGGAGGTTTAGACAAGCAACCTTACTCATATTATTGCTAGATATAGATGTTTTGATAACGAAATGATAAAAGACTTGAATTTTTTTTTGGATTGCAAAGTTGCACCTATTATACAACTAGAAATTCTTTAAAAAAAGTATCCAGAACATGTATTTCATAAACAAAACGTTTATAATGCTATTTATAATTTATACCAGAATAATAAAAATGAAAGATCTGACTCTTTATTATTTCTTGATATCTTATTTGAAAAAATAACTCAAGACCTATGTTGAAAAGTTTTTGTTCGTCATACTGGTAGTGAAAATTGCCCATCAGGTATATTTTGGATGTCTTCCAGTCAACAAGAATTGTATAAGCGATTTTCTGATATAGTATTAAATTACAATACTTGTAAAACTAACAAGTATAATATGTACTTAAGTGTATTTATGATAAAAGATAACTATAGAAGATTTTGCAATGTGACAAATACTTTAATAGAAGATGAACTTTCTTCAACATACACTTGGATTTTACAATGTTTGGTAAAAGCAACTGACAATATAATTCCAAAATCATTTTGAACTGATTCTGAACCTGGATTAATTAATGCTGTTGCTCAAGTTTTTCCAAATACATCACATTTTTATTGTATGTTCCATATATAGCAGAATATTATAAAACATTTTAAATCCAAATTAGACGAAAACTTTAGTAATTTTAGTAAAGCTTTCTATGCATGTAGAAATGCATTATGTATAGAGATTTTTGAGCAATGTTGGGAATTTATGATAAAATCATTTCCAAACTGTGAACGTTATATGACTAACATTATATAATAATAGAATTAGTTGGGCTAAAGCATATATGCCATTTCAATTTAATGGTGGTATACAAAGTACCCAAAGTATAAAATCGTTTAATGGTATTATTAAAAGGTCTTTAAATAGAACAAGTACACTTTGTGAGATGGAAGAAGCTATAAATAAGAGACATGAAGAAGAAATTAGATATTGTCAATTAACAGATCTTAAAGCAAAGTATACAACAGTTGGACTTTCACATCTTCTCAATTTTTTTCAGATGTTAATACAGTTATTGTTGAATTTTTAACTCCTCTTATACACTACTTGGACAAAAGTAGCGGGAATTCATCATATTTTATTAATTACTCAAAAACATACATATTAATAATACTTGAAATTTTAATATATAATAACATAGATAATAAAGAATATATATTCAAAATTTCATAGTTCTAGCCTTCATACAACTATGTTAATTAAAAAAAGAAATTTAGTAATTAGCAACAGTACTATTGTTTTTATAATTTAATTTTCTCTCCATTTTTTTTATAATCCATATAAAAACAAAAACTAGAAAAAAGATATTTGATGTATATATATTAATTAAAGAACCTGTACTACTACATATTAAAATTTCTGATATAATTATTATGTATAATTCCTAATAAACTGACAGTATCAGACTATTTGTTTATTTTTATTATATAATATATAGATAATTGTTAAAATTTCTTTCTGAGTTTTCTTTAATTAATGTAGTTGTATGAATGCTAGAACAATGAAATTTTGAATATATATTCTGTATTGTCTACATCATCACATATTAAAATTTTAGGTATTATTATTATGTACATTTTCAAGTAATTAATAAAATATGAATTCCCGCTACTTTTGTCCAAGTAGTGTATTATCTTTACAACGTTTTCAAATTTCACAATCATTTACTTATGAAGGGCAATTAATATCTTGTTTATTTGATGTATGTATTATTTCTTAAAAAATAAAACTATTGATATTGATTAACATTTATAAATAAAAAACATTATTTTTCATTACAGAACTCACCTTCTGATACTCCAGATGATAATTTCGTAGAAGATATAGTAAATGAACCACAAGTAATGTTAAAATCTATATTAAATGATATGGATACATCAAATATTGTTGAAATTTGGAAAATTTGTCAAGTAGGAGGTATTTCTCAAAAAGAAAATTTAGTAGTTCTTTTTAATGATAGATCACATATTTGTACTTGTTTGGAAACAATTACAAAAGGAATAATTTGCTGCCATTTTTGGAGAGTTATGCTTTATTCTAATACAGCAAAATTTCATATTAGTATTATTCCTATTAGATGGTACAAAGATGATATTTTAACGAAATTACACAGGTTGAAAAGTGAAAAATTAGGCATCAATTAGTCACCAATCAGCATTTTCGCCAAATACCATCACCAATCAGGCAGTTTGCTAACTTTTGATCCAGTGATCAGAAAAAAATAAAATATAGCTCATTGGAATTGTCTCAACAAGACGAATCTAATGGTAGTAAAATCGCATCTCTAGGATTAATAGTTAATAAAAAATTAAATAAATATAAATAATACATTTTTATTTTTATATTTTACTTAATTTCTCATCAAGTATTAATCCTAGAAATGCGATTTTACTACCATTAGATTCGTCTTGTTGAGACGATTCCAATGAACTATATTTTATTTTTTTTCTGATTACTGGATCAAAAGTTAGCAAACTGCACGGTATTTGGCAAAGATGCCAATTAGTCACCGATTGGTGCCTGATTTTTCACTTTTCGACCTGTGTTAAGTAGTAGTATACTTGAAAATTTACCTGTTTTTACAGCAGTAGAATCATTTGATACAGCAATACTACATACAGTAGATTTACTCTTCAAAGTTTGAAAAAGCATTTTCAAGGATCTTATAATAATGAAATTATTCAACAAATTATTCCTAAAAGAAATAAATTTGGAGTAGCATTTTTAACTGCAAAGACTGCAATTAATATTGCATTAGAAACTGGATGTGATAACGAATTAGTAAAATTGTTAAGAGATTTTATTTCAACTAAATAAAGAAGTCGAAATGCAGTTGATTTAGAAAATAATATGGAAGTAGAAAATATTGAACAGGGACCTCGGATATCTAATATAAAGGTCATAATGGACTTTTGGCCAAAAACACCACTTTTTGTTAAAACTCAAAAAATCGTTTTTTGTAAATATCTCAGCATCCAGTGATTCAATTTTAATGAACATTTTTTTATTTTGTAGCCCTCATTTAGCTCTACAATTTAAAAAAATGTTCATCAAAATTGGCCCACTGGATGCCGAGATATTTACAAAAAACTATTTTTTGAACCCCTGAAAAATGGGCCAATCTGCCAAAAGTGTGACTTGATCCCGATCTGCCAACTCTTTCTTGTAGATCCTTGGTCAAAAATTTCGCGGAAGAAATTTTTATTCTTCATATTAACACATCTCTTATTTTACTATTAATATGCCTTCCAAAGGTAACAAAAAAGCTGGCAATAACCCTAACGGGTGATCTGCCAAGCGACAAGATAAACGAAACAAAAATAAAGACTCTGGCTCTGACATTTCGAACTCTGATAATGAACAAAAAAACAATAAAAACAACCCTTCCAAACGTACCCGTACGCTCCCAGAAAATCCTATGGAAGAAGACTACGTCGCTGACTCAGCGGCTGACGCTGGAGGTAGTCATATTACTCCTCCTCAACAAAATAATGCTGACAACTTTTCGTCTCCTCCTCCCAAAAATACTACTGCGCCTTCTGCGCCTAGTACTGTTGCGTCTGGTACCGACGCGTCCATGCATGCCCCAAAAGACAAAGAAACTTCCCCCTTAGACGCGTCTCCTAATAAAGATATTATGGATACCAATGATACTTCTTCTCTTCCCCTTGACACGCCCACTATTTCCATTCTTAGGCATGATTATCAGGCTGCTGCGGCTCCTAATACTTCTCCTGAATTTATCAAAAAGTATCCTACCAATCGGGCTATGATTGACGCTGTAAATAACCTCCTTTTGGAAACTTATCACTCTTACACTGGCCGCGCTCGCATGTCTGGTTCTGGTGACCTCAAACGATTAGTCATTCATTTTAATTCAACTACTGAAAGTGATGCCTACCTTTCTCTCCAACATGATGATCTTGCCGATCTCCAATTTTTTCTACATGACCCTCAGCAACTCCGAACTGATGAAGATCTCTGGGCTATCCAAGTCACTGACATTAAATTCTTCATCAAGAAAGATGACATTACTGCTCTTTTTAAAAAATATGGTAACATACAATCCTGTCGCATACATACACGTGCCAATGCTAAAGTTCAGCAAGCTCGTATTGTTTATGATGATGCTTCTTCTATCCAACATTTCATGGATAAACAGTGGGCAATCTATTGTTATTCCACTTGTTTACGTATTACACCATGCTCCCTCACCCTTGATCAAAAGAAACACGACGTGAATTCGTCGCCATTTTATCTCAGCTCCCTCCTAACACAAAAGATGTGCATTTAGCACCCTTGGTACGAGCAATTGGCGCTATGGCCGTTAATATACCACTATCTCTTAATTCCTATAAACCTAAATGATGGGCTTACATCACTTTCAAATCACAACAAATGATGGACACCGCAATGGAACAATCAGTCACCCTGCAAGGCCACAGACTCCAATGGGAATTTCCGGAGAATACAAACAAGCTTTGCCACAGATGCGGCAAACTTGGCTGCGCCCCTACTGCATACCCATTGAACAATTCTCGTGGTCGCTCACGTACCCGTAATCCTGTTGCACACTTAAAAGAACGTTTTAATATTGGACGATCAAATAACCATGACTCTTCTGTTAATTGCAATAGACATCGTTCCCGTTCTCAATCCAAAGATCGTTCTAATTCCCGACAACGTAACCATTCAGCCAATAACACTGGACGGAGCAATAATAATACCAATAACACTTCTTCGCCCAATCCTTCTAATTCCAATAAATCTATCCAATCTGCACAACAACCTCGCTCTAATGAGCGTAAAGGCAAAGACCGTTCAGTTTCCTTTTTCACTTCCCAACGTAATAGTACCTTTATTCCTAACTCATCTGGTCATAAACAACCTTTTTTGGTGTATCCTAATTGCTCCCAAATTCAAGAGATCCTTTCAGTGCTTAAAAGCCTTCAAGAAGATATGGCTAGTGTACGTGCTAGAATTCATGCTCTTGAATTAGCTGATCAGAGGATGTCTCGGTTGGAACTTCGTGTTTTTGGACATAAGCAAGACGATGTTCTCCCACCCGACCCTAATAATTCTTCATACATGCTAGTTGATAATCACCAAAGCACCCCCCTTATATAACACAATCTAACCCGCCCACTTCGAACAGGTCTAATTCTGGCCCGGTTCTCCCTCCCCCAATGGTTTCTGTTCCCTGTTCCACCATTTCTTCTTCCCCCATCCCGAAACTGCTGATGAAGTAACTATTAATAAAGAACGTGCTGAAATTTATTCATTTCAACGATCCTTAGATAACAAATTCGACCACTTATCCGGCTCTATTGAAAGATTTATTAGCTCCATTTCTGGTGGCTCTTCCTCGGACTTAGTCAATAAAACTTTGTCTGATTGATTTGTTATCCCTTTCTTTCACCCCGCAATTTTTATCATTGTGTTATAATGATGAACGATAATATAGATTATGATACCTTTGTGTGAAATCCCCCCAACCCCGTTAATTTTAGTGATATTTTTAATGATCCTTTATCCGATACTTTATTTTCTTCTTCTTCCTCTACTTCCCCCATTCCCAATTCTTTTAACATTCTTCTTTTAATGTTAATGGTCTTAAAACTCCTGGCCAAGGTTCCTTTAAAATGGACCAAATCTCTTCTTTCTTTTTACAAAATCACATTTCCTTTGGTGGTATCGTTGATACACACCTATCGCCTAAACGAATGAAATTTTTGTCTAAACGAGTTTGTGATTATACTTCTTTTCATTCTGATTTGGACTCCACCAAACATGGTCGCTCTTCTGGTGGTGTTTCTTTATTCATACACAACTCTTTAGCAACTCATGTTCAATTTTATCAATCCCATTCCTCCCGTATTCTTTCTGTAGACTTGTTTTTTAAAGGCAATGTTAAATTGCGTATATTTGTCGTCTACATTCCACCCACAAATGATCTTGTTCTTCGTTACGAAGTCATTGATCTGTCTCTTATACACATCTAGATGTGTATAAGAGACAGATGCTGGAGGCAGCAATACTACTCCTCCTCAACAAAATAATGCTGATAACTTTTCGTCTCCTCCTCCCAAAGATATTACTGCGCCTTCTGCGCCTAGTACTGTCACGTCTGGTACCGACGCGTCCATGCATGCCCCAAAAGACAAAGAAACTTCCCCCTTAGACGTGTCTCCTAATAAAGATATTATGGATACCAATGATACTTCTTCTCTTCCCCTTGACACGCCCACTATTTCCATTCTTAGGCGTGATTATCAGGCTGCTGCAGCTCCTAATACTTCCCCTGAATTTATCAAAAAGTATCCTACCAATCGGGCTATGATTGACGCTGTTAATAACCTCCTTTTGGAAACTTATCACTCTTACACTGGCCGCGCTCGCATGTCTGGTTCTGGTGACCTCAAACGATTAGTCATTCATTTTAATTCAACTACTGAACGTGATGCCTGCCTTTCTCTCCAACATGATGATCTTGCCGATCTCTGATTTTTTCTACATGACCCTCAGCAACTCCGAACTGATGAAGATCTCCGGGCTATCCAAGTCACTGACATTCCATTCTTCATCAAGAAAGATGACATTACTGCTCTTTTTAAAAAATATGGTAACATACAATCCTGTCGCATCCATACACGTACCAATGCTAAAGTTCAGCAAGCTCGTATTGTTTATGATGATGCTTCTTCTATCCAACATTTCATGGATAAACAGTGGGCAATCTATTGTTATTCCACTTGTTTACGTATTACACCATGCTCCCTCACCCTTGATCAAAAGAAAACACGACATGAATTCGTCACCGTTTTATCTCAGCTCCCTCCTAACACAAAAGATGTGCATTTAGCACCCTTGGTACGAGCAATTGGCGCTATGGCCGTTAATATCCCACTATCTCTTAATTCCTATAAACCTAAATGATGGGCTTACATCACTTTCAAATCACAACAAATGATGGACACCGCAATGGAACAATCAGTCACCCTGCAAGGCCACAGACTCCAATGGGAATTTCCGGAGAATACAAACAAGCTTTGCCACAGATGCGGCAAACTTGGCTGCGCCCCTACTGCATACCCATTGAACAATTCTCGTGGTCGCTCACGTACCCGTAATCCTGTTGCACACTTAAAAGAACGTTTTAATATTGGACGATCAAATAACCATGACTCTTCTGTTAATTGCAATAGACATCGTTCCCGTTCTCAATCCAAAGATCGTTCTAATTCCCGACAACGTAACCATTCAGCCAATAACACTGGACGGAGCAATAATAATACCAATAACACTTCTTCGCCCAATCCTTCTAATTCCAATAAATCTATCCAATCTGCACAACAACCTCGCTCTAATGAGCGTAAAGGCAAAGACCGTTCAGTTTCCTTTTTCACTTCCCAACGTAATAGTACCTTTATTCCTAACTCATCTGGTCATAAACAACCTTTTTTGGTGTATCCTAATTGCTCCCAAATTCAAGAGATCCTTTCAGTGCTTAAAAGCCTTCAAGAAGATATGGCTAGTGTACGTGCTAGAATTCATGCTCTTGAATTAGCTGATCAGAGGATGTCTCGGTTGGAACTTCGTGTTTTTGGACATAAGCAAGACGATGTTCTCCCACCCGACCCTAATAATTCTTCATACATGCTAGTTGATAATCACCAAAGCACCCCCCTTATATAACACAATCTAACCCGCCCACTTCGAACAGGTCTAATTCTGGCCCGGTTCTCCCTCCCCCAATGGTTTCTGTTCCCTGTTCCACCATTTCTTCTTCCCCCATCCCGAAACTGCTGATGAAGTAACTATTAATAAAGAACGTGCTGAAATTTATTCATTTCAACGATCCTTAGATAACAAATTCGACCACTTATCCGGCTCTATTGAAAGATTTATTAGCTCCATTTCTGGTGGCTCTTCCTCGGACTTAGTCAATAAAACTTTGTCTGATTGATTTGTTATCCCTTTCTTTCACCCCGCAATTTTTATCATTGTGTTATAATGATGAACGATAATATAGATTATGATACCTTTGTGTGAAATCCCCCCAACCCCGTTAATTTTAGTGATATTTTTAATGATCCTTTATCCGATACTTTATTTTCTTCTTCTTCCTCTACTTCCCCCATTCCCAATTCTTTTAACATTCTTCTTTTAATGTTAATGGTCTTAAAACTCCTGGCCAAGGTTCCTTTAAAATGGACCAAATCTCTTCTTTCTTTTTACAAAATCACATTTCCTTTGGTGGTATCGTTGATACACACCTATCGCCTAAACGAATAAAATTTTTGTCTAAATGAGTTTGTGATTATACTTCTTTTCATTCTGATTTGGACTCCACCAAACATGGTCGCTCTTCTGGTGGTGTTTCTTTATTCATACACAACTCTTTAGCTACTCATGTTCAATTTTATCAATCCCATTCCTCCCATATTCTTTATGTAGACTTGTTTTTTAAAGGCAATGTTAAATTGCATATATTTGTAGTCTACATTCCACCCACAAATGATCTTGTTCTTCGTTACGAAGTCATTGATCAATTAATTTCTTTAATTTCCCAAACTTCTTCACAAAATTTTCACCATGCTATTTGCGGAGATTTTAACATGAATCTGAAGAAATATTACCCTATATTTTTGCATCAACCTCAGGTTGCTGCTAAACGAATTCACAAATTATTTCATTATTTGCTTTCTCATAATTATGAAAACTGCACCCCCTTAATTTATCAGGTACCTTAGGTACCTATAACCATTTGGATACTATTACTCGTATTGACTTTGTTTGGTCTTGTCCACTTCTTCGCCAATATATGTTAACAACTTCTATTTTTGATGCTCATGATTTACACATTTCAGAACATAACCCTATTATTACATATTTTGATGCTTCATTATTATCAGATGCTATTAAATCTGCACGAGCTCGTCAACTTGGTCGTAATACTTGACGTGTTTTCAAATATGACTCCATTTCTTCTGATCAATGGACTGCTTTTGCTGATAATTTGGATAAATTATGTCCAATTGATCCACTTGTCTTTGACGCTTGGCCTCTCAATCAGAAATGTGAATATCTTCATTCTAGGATTATCAAAGCTGCTAATTCCACATTGCCTTCAGTTACTGTGGGCAATACTTATATTCCAAAGAAGCCTAAAGACTTGGAAAGTTTATGCCAGTCTTATAGATTTTTGTCTAAAGTGGCTAAAACTAAAGCTCTGAATGGGTCGGTTCAGTTCGGTTTTTTTGCAGTTCGGGTAGAACCGAAAACCGAAATGGAACCGAACTGGAACCGTCCAGTTCGGTTCGGTTCTATCCGAAATTAAGAAAAATGCGAAAAAATGAATACACGAC